AAAATCATCTCTGATTTTTTCATAAAAATTGGAACAAATAATCTTCATACAGTATCAAGTCATTTGTCATTTTAAAAAAGAGGGGTCCATGTACTCGTTTTCAAGCTAATGATTAAAATCCCTCGAAAAATGCATCTTTTCCCGATAAGTCGCAGTTTGACGTCGCGAAAAATAACATATTACGTTAGCAACGTCATTACCTCCCCTGTAAGTGTATCGTATGTCCTTAACAGAAAACAAAACAGACTAATAAATATTCACTACATAGTTATCTATTAAAATTTATATTATTATGATAACCTGATAAACTAATCTGAACATAAGATTTAATCATCTGATGTCATACAAATTTAATGGTGTACTTAAAAATCTCTTTGTTTGCCATTTGCATACTAAAAAATTACGGACATTGACATGAGGATTAATCTTTCAATCTGTTAATATTTGTCATTAGCAAAAGGGAAATCAGATGTAGGTAGGTAATATACATGTTTCTATATGGTTTTGTGTAACATTGTAATGAAATAAGTATAAAAGTAATCAATATGTAGAGACATATATATTTATGCTGATCGTATTCTCTCTGTTTTTCTACGTTGAAAATCGTAAAAAATATGCATCATTCACCTTTGAATCCTTGACAAACACAATTTTTTATTGAAAAATACTAAATTTTAATAAAATTTAAATAATCCCCTTATTTTTCAACAACATATACAAAAATAAGAAGATTGCTATGAATGCCAATGCCGAGAGACAAATATCCACCAGGGTCCATATGTTGTAGATTTACCGTACGGCCTTCAACAATGAGCAAAATCCATACCGTATCGTTACGACATTACAAAATGAAAAAAAACCAGTTCAAACGAGACAGAGACAACCACCGGCCTGCCATGTGCAAAACAATGAACAAACAACAAAATATAAAATGCAGCAACAAATGACAGCAACTCATGACTCATGACTTGAGACAGGCATATAGTAACAGAATGTGACGGGATTTAACATGTTTGCGAGGGACCAATCCCTTTCCTAACATTTGACAGCAGTGTAACAGCACAACATAAGAACAAACTGTAAAAACCAGTTAAAAAAGGATTGACCCTTCTGATCGATACAAAGCACAAGATACAACTATCAAAAAGACTGAAGACACACAAAGTACCGATCTAAGAGTACTCGTAGTTACTCGTTAGTTCAAAGCTAATAACAACCTATTTTAATAAATCATGTTTCCCCGACGAAAATATCAATTAAGACCATCCTCCTAAATCAGACTCTGTTGAGGAGAAGTAATAGTGTCTTAATTATTAATATCTAGCAATGTCGACGAAATCTCAGCATAATGCATCGGATGAGATGGACGAAGATACACCATTGTTAAATGGTAAAGAGCATCTAAGAGTAAGGACATATTCGCATAGTAGTGGAACAACATCTCATCACAGCGAGGCAGGTAATAATGAAAATATATAACATTTCAAACAGTAGTGGAACAACATCTCATCACAGCAAGGCAGGTAATAATGAAAATATATAACATTTTACACAGTAAGGGAACAACATTCCATCACAACATGGCAGGTAGTAATGAAATTTATAACATGTTCACACAGTAGTAGAACAACATCTCATCACAGCAAGGCAGGTAGTAATGAACATATATAACATTTCACATAGTAGTGGAACAACATCTGATCACAGCGAAGCAGTTTATAATGAAAATACATAACATTAAAAAAAAAACAGTAATGGAACAACATCTCATCACAGCAAGGCATGAAATAATGAACAAATATCAAATTTCACAAAATAGTGGAACAACATCTCACCACAGTGAGCCAGGTGATATTGAAAATATATAACATTTCACACATTAGTGGAACAGCATCTGATCACAGCGAAGCAAGTTATAATGAAAATATATAACTTACCACACGATAGTGGAACAGCATCTGATCACGACATCATTGAAATTTAGTCATACTATTAAAAATCAAATCCATACAATGAGAACACTTAAAAGGCTGAACTAAATTAGAAAAAAAAACAAATAAAAACGAAAAAAATAAACCATTTAAGGAGAAATTGTTCGAGATACTTGCATTAAGCGCAGCATGTTTTAAAAAAAAACTTTATATCTTGAGAACTCAAACGATTTAGAAAACTGGTACTTTCATGGATCATGATTAAGTTAAACTACAAGATAATTGAGATAATCTGACAGACCAAAGAATCATTAAAGCAGAAACAGAATCCCTGGCTTTAACAGTTGGTACATTATTGCTCATAACCATAACATATGAATAATAGTGAAACATAATTATTTCGTATTTGAAGACTTTAAATTAAAAAAGGGTTTATATTAAATTACGCCGACCTTGAGGTCTTATAAAAAATAAGAGACTGATGAGTTGTACAATTTAACATTAAAATATATTGAAATAAGAATAAAAGTAGATAGGGTAAACGTTTAAACGGTATATAGAATTAGCTGAACAACATACAATATACGGACTTCAACAATTGGCAAAGTCTATAAAAGAGAGGCGAAAGATACCAAAGGAATACTCTAACTCGTTAGTCAAAAACAAAATGACAATGTCATGTCAAAAACAACATGACAATGCCATGTCAAAAACAAAATGACAATGCCATGTCAAAAACAAAATGACAATGTCATGTCAAAAACAACATGACAATGCCATGTCAAAAACAAAATGACAATGCCATGTCAAAAACAAAATGACAATGCCATGTCAAAAACAAAATGACAATGCCATGTCAAAAATAAAAAAAGTTTAAAAGACAAACAACATTATACAAAACACAACATGGAAAACCAAAGACAGAGCAACACTAACCCAACCAGTAACTGGGGCTGATCTCAGGTGTTCCAAAAGGTAAGCAGATCCTGCTCCACACATGTGTGTATGAATTCTTCATAAGTTAAGACAACTTGTGAATAAATAAAGCAAATAATATCAAGAAAGATCTGTCATCAACAAAAAATGACCAAAAGGACAAAAGCACCTAGATATAACTAAATATAACCATGACAATGCACCTGACTGGAAAGTGTTGAATACAAACAGATGTATACCAGGAATGAATTATCAATCAGATCATAACATCTTCTCCATAAGTACTAAGTACGACGAAGGAGATATTCCAGGTTCATAAAATGTTCTTAACAATGAAGAAAGTCTCACTAATTCTAATGTTGGTTGGTATTTGTACATGCATATTTTAATAGTTAATCAGCATCGAGTGTCCAACGTTTGATGCCGATATTATTGAAAGTTAGAAGTAAAATTGATACAACGAGAATTTAACTTATCTTCCAGCAACTTTTGATTTTCGAGCACCATCTCACAGTCACGTGACACCAGAAGAAGTATTACAACGAATGAGATATGCCTTTAGAAATGACGGGTAACGTGTCTTTTATTTCAAATATTATTATGATTAAGATTGGATTTAGTTGTTGTCAAAATCGAACTACAAAAAAGAAATCTTAAGAGAAAATTGATATATCTTTGCCTCCAAGCGTTTTCCAACAGCAACTATTACGTGTATACCTAGAACAACACCATCTTAATTTTGTATGAGTAATGTGCACGTCTATGAACTTTAGTCTTCAATTGATAGTTTTTCTCATTGGCAAACATAACAATTCTCCCCATTTTATGTAGTGTATATCATACGTTGTATTAAGCTGATACGCTGAGTCAGATTTTAAACAGTCATGCTTGCTCACAAGACAGCGCTGAGTCAGATTTAACACAGTCATGCTTGCTCACAAGACAGCGCTGAGTCAGATTTAACACAGTCATGCTTGCTCACAAGATAGCGCTGATTCAGATTTAACACAGTCATGCTTGCTCACAAGATAGGCTGAGCGCTGAGTCAGATTTAACACAGTCATGCTTGCTCACAAGATAGCGCTGATTCAGATTTAACACAGTCATGCTTGCTCACAAGATAGCGCTGAGTCAGATTTAAACACAGTCATGCTTGCTCACAAGACAGCGCTGAGTCAGATTTAACACTTTCATGCTTGCTCACAAGATAGCAGTCCGCCAAAAAAACCCAACATATAATCAAACTGGTACCAATCATTCCGACTTCGAACCAACAAGTCTGCTCTAACTCATTTGCTTGCGTGCCAACCGGAAAAAGAAACAAATACTAATTCTCTGGTTTTGAACAGGTCGGGATTCGCAAAAGTTCCATAAATAGCGATATATATTCAAAAGAAACATGTAAATAGATTAAAGCGCAAATACGAATATTTGTAATACACATAAAAAAAACATCATTTTAAAGTTGTTGAAGTTGCTCTGTTTTTGTGTAAAAATATTGTTTTATAGCTTTGATGCAGAAAATGATTTTGAAGCTGCACAATCTATGCTCACTACATTGGAACGATCTGCATTCCGTGACACAGTGCTCGATAATTTAAAAGAAACACCCATGTCTATGAGGGAACGACTTGGTTTAAGAAGGTACTGAATATAAAAGATGTAAACATTTTGTAATTCTTATTTACACATAACAAAAGCATTCAATTACCGACATCTCTGGCGGATCAATTTTGTTCCTCTCTTGTGGTAACAGTCAGCAATTACCATAGTCGACCCAAATTATCAACAAATATTTCATTTTGAGTTTTGAAATCCATAAAAGGCACTTTTTTAATTTCCAATTTGTTTGCTTCTCAATGATTTTTTCATTGAAAAGTGGTAAAATCTACTTTTCACGTTTGAACATTTTCCGAAAAAGAATTACTAAAATAGAAGCCTTTGTCTCATCAGAATGAAATTATATTATGGGGTCGTGTTTTGTTCGAGCTGTATTTCCTGTTGTAATTTTATCTGTTCCTTAAAGGAGACCTGACATGAAATCGGGTTTATGCTTTATTTTCTATAATTTGGCTTTTGATATTGATGGAATTGTACACTACTAGTACGTACTTCAATATACGGTGTACTTACATGTTCGTTGGTACACGGTAAGTTTCATTGGCAATCATCTCATTTGAATAATTTAGATTAATATACTCAAAGACTCATACTAGAAGGAAGCGTGAACAAGAAATAGAAGAAGCAACAACAAAGGTAACTAAAAAGTACATATTTACATGTTAATGATAGATCATTTTGTTTAACCAATATTATCTTTCCGGTAAGGTTTTTCGAAAAGCATTCCTTCCTTTTTGGTAAATGTAGTTCAGTTTTTTCACAATAATGCAAAGAAATTCAAACAAAATGAAACCTTTATCAACCTTTCCAACTTGATATGTTCGAAAAATGTACAAATCTTTTTACACCTTATCAAATGCTTATGTATAAATAACATTAATTTGAATTTTTGAATTCTATATTGCAGAGTGGGAACCGCAATTACACATTTGTTCCATTTAATTTGTGGGAAGAAACAATAGCCAACTTATCAGGTCGGTGGATACTTTTTTTTACATTTTTTTTCAAAAGAAATTAATCGGTATTGGTATTGGTACCAGTGCGCATTACATGACGTTCCCAATAAAAAGTGGATTTTGACGTTATTTCAAAGAATGTTTCAAGCGTTCGATCAAAAAGAGCGTGATTAATGCTTTGTATATGTTTTCGCATTTCGCCCCCTCCCCCGATTTTAACTTATGCGAAAATGCGAATTAATATTGCTGTCGAGTGATATGTGATAATTTGTAATATGAATATTGATTTATGATTAACAAGGGAAAAAATGAAGTTTACAGCTATGATACCAAGTCGTGTGTCATGTTTGTAGTTCAAAAATTTAAATTGCTCAAAAACAAAAGGTTCTTTCTTTTGGATTTCTTAATGTAGGTGATTGAGCTTGTCCTTACTTGGTGTCAATGTTAGGAAGATAGGTCATGAATATTCGTCCAATTTTTTCCTTCATGGAACCCTGAATTACTTGATGTTTATTTGCGGCTGCAGATGAGACTTGCGATAAGGTAGTTAAATAGCGTGATATGTTTGATGACTTTTCTATATAGTGGTGTCCTACCAGAATATGTTCACATCCTTTTCGAAAAAAAATGTATTCAAGAAATTATTTTAGAAAAAATTACCCCCCCCCCCCGCCCCCTCCCGCCCATTCAAACAAACAGAAGTTGACAGAGAAACATTCATTTCAATTCTATGTACAAGTAATATAAATCCAAATTACCTCTTCATGTACAGGTAGTAACAATTCTCATGTATCTTCTGTCAAACGTATACTAGCTTCCTAAGTAAAAGAATTAGTTGACATCAAATACAGTTTAATCATCAATGTAAGAGTGTTTGGATATTTTTTTCACTACACGTGAACAGATTGATAAACACGTGGTATGTTGATTTGAGGTACAAATATAAAACCATGTAAGTTATAACCTTTGAATATGCATTCCAAAAATTAAAAAAACTACTCAAAAAGTAAGGCATTTTAAATTCAATTGAACTGAAAAATTTAATAAAATGATCAACTATCCATTGAAAATGAAATCAAAATAGCAGCGACTTCCTTTATAAAAGTTTAAATGCAAGAAAATACACATGATTTCTGTAGTATCAATTTTTTTCATACAATTGGCTTATTTTGCAATATTTTTTATAGGATTAAATTAGAGCAAATTATCCTCATAACATGAATTTTAAATCACGGACGCTGACATTTATTATGTTTTGCGGACGTTGTGACAAAATTGGCTATAATTTTTGATGCGAAAGGAGGATCATGTTTTCTAAAGAAAAAAAAAATGAAATAGAAAAATGTGTTTTTCTTTAAAACCAAATCTCTATATTATTTTATCTAACCATGCTTTTTGCATAAACAGCTAAAAAAAAAAAGGGAATAAAAAAACGAATTTTAAGGGTGAAGAGGGTTTCAAAATTTATTATAGGGATATGTATGGAGATAATGATATGTATGCAATTTACGAAAAGTCAAAGAGGAGGTAGAAAATTGTAAAGAAACATTCTCAACCGTTTATTATACTTATCAGAACTAAAAGTTTTCTGTGCTTGAAAATATTGAAAAAAATAATGCATAAGGATTTTGATAGGAAAGTGCTAAAACAGGATCATTATATTGAATCATACCTGATAACTTAAATTTCAATAAGGAATACAGGAGTCTCCAATCACTTTATGTTGAGCCTTTTGGCAGTGCAAAGCAAATTGTGATTTATTCAGGATAAAGCAATGTATCTTAATAGTTTAATCTTTATTTTCGTTTGATTTAGTTTACTTTGACAGTAATGTTGCGTCATACTTTAAGCTTGTTTGTTTTAGCTTACTGTGACAGTGACGTTGCGTCATACTTTTAAGTTTGTTTGTTTTAGCTTACTTTGACAGTGATGTTGCGTCATACTTTTAAGTGTGTTTGTTTTAGCTTACTGTGACAGTGATGTTGCATCATACTTTTAAGATTGTTTGTTTTAGCTTACTGTGACAGTAATGTTGCGTCATACTTTTAAGTTTGTTTGTTTTAGCTTACTTTGGCAGTAATGTTGCATCATACTTTAAGTTTGTTTGTTTTAGCATACTGTGATAGTGATGTTGCATCATACTTTTAAGCTTACTGTGACAGTAATGTTGCGTCATACTTTTAAGTTTGCTTGTTTTAGCTTACCGTGACAGTAATGTTGCGTCATACTTTTAAGTTTGCTTGTTTTAGATTACTTTGGCAGTAATGTTGCGTCATACTTTCAAGTTTGTTTGTTTTAGCTTACTTTGGCAGTAATGTTGCGTCATACTTTTAAGTTTGCTTGTTTTAGCTTACTGTGACAGTAATGTTGCGTCATACTTTTAAGTTTGTTTGTTTTAGCTTACTGTGACAGTAATGTTGCGTCATACTTTTAAGTTTGTTTGTTTTAGCTTACTGTGACAGTAATGTTGCGTCATACTTTTAAGTTTGTTTGTTTTAGCTTACTTTTGCAGTAATGGCAGTGATCCCTTTGCGGCTAAAACTGTGCCACTTTTACTATGAGGTTTCGTGAAAAATTATATCCCAGAACGGAAATTACCTCTTCATGTACAGGTAGTAACAATTCTCATGTATCTTCTGTCAAACGTATACTAGCTTCCTAAGTAAAAGAATTAGTTGACATCAAATACAGTTTAATCATCAATGTAAGAGTGTTTGGATATTTTTTTCACTACACGTGAACAGATTGATAAACACGTGGTATGTTGATTTGAGGTACAAATATAAAACCATGTAAGTTATAACCTTTGAATATGCATTCAAAAAATTAAAAAAAATACTCAAAAAGTAAGGCATTTTAAATACAATTGAACTGAAAAATTTAATAAAATGATCAACTATCCATTGAAAATGAAATCAAAATAGCAGCGACTTCCTTTATAAAAGTTTAAATGCAAGAAAATACACATGATTTCTGTAGTATCAATTTTTTTCATACAATTGGCTTATTTTGCAATATTTTTTATAGGATTAAATTAGAGCAAATTATCCTCATAACATGAATTTTAAATCACGGACGCTGACATTTTTTAAGTTTGCTTGTTTTAGCTTACTGTGACAGTAATGTTGCGTCATACTTTTAAGTTTGTTTGTTTTAGCTTACTTTTGCAGTGATGTTGCGTCATACTTTTAAGTTTGTTTGTTTTAGCTTACTTTGGTAGTGATGTTGCGTCATACTTTTAAGTTTGTTTGTTTTAGCTTACTTTGGCAGTAATGTTGCGTCATACTTTAAGCTTGTTTGTTTTAGCTTACTGTTACAGTGATGTTGCGTCATACTTTTAAGTTTGTTTGTTTTAGCTTACTTTGGCAGTAATGTTGCATCATACTTTAAGTTCCTGAGGATTTTGTTGTTGTTGAATATAGCAGCGGGAATACTGATGATATCTTTTGTAACTGTTCCACAGGTAAAACTTATTAAAAATAAGCAAATATTTGTATTATACTAATTTTTATTTTATCTATTTGTATTGGGTCGCAAACTGAAAAATTAATCTTTTCTATAGGTTGCAATTCTGTAAATATAGACAATGCAATTTCCCATTGGAACTCCCTTTGCGGCTAAAACTGTGCCACTTTTACTATGAGGTTTCGTGAAAAATTATATCCCAGAACGGAAAGTTGATATGCACTACTATTTTTTTCAAGGTCAAAATATAGGGCTGTGTGGCATATTTTCAACATTTATATGCCCTGAACTTCTAAGAGTTTAAACTTATACTAAAATTCTGTACTACCCCTACCTCCGCTTTGAGACCTCCTAAGAATTAAATTTTCATCGCTTCTATGCTTTGCTATACTGGTAACATTCCCAAATTATGTCTCTATGAGATGAAACACAGAGATTAATCTGGGAACCAGTACGCAAACAAATTAACATATCTATGAATATTATATATCTCCCAAAAAGAGGCGTGGCTTGTGAGTCAGATATATCAAGGCCAGAAGTTCTTACTGCAGATTTTTTTTCTGGAAAAATTTTAATCATATACTAGTCTCCTGGGTATAGATTAGGAATAGCTAATACTAAACCAAAAGCAAATTAAAGATACGAAATATAACAACGAATTGACGAAAGCTTAGAACCATATTTTTGTATATCATAATTATAAACCAGCATTCAAAAATAAATATTAGACAACATGTTTATAATCTCTTAGTCCCTCAGACGTACGTTTTCTGTACGCAATATAAATCAGTGGCACTTGGATATATCAGTAGGACAGTCAAATGAATCCCAAAAGTTCTATAAAATCCGGCTACGGTTAATACACATTGGGATAGAAAAACCTAACTGTTTCAAATGGTTTCAAAATTTTAAGGTAACCAATCTCCTAAAGTTTTATTGGCAGTGGTCTAATTAAATAGTGTTTTGTCTGTTTGTTTATGAACTTTTTAGCAAATACATTTGTCAAAATATACAACGATGCAATTAAGCCAGGAAAAGTTGAATTTGAATGGTTTAACTGTAAGTCTGTTCTTTGTATTTAGAGCCTTATAGTGGTATATTAATTGTATTTCTGTAATTATGCCATAAATGTTGATTTTCATAAAGGTTTATCTTAAAGTGTGAGTTGATAACAGAAACAGCTGTGCGTTTTACATTCATTAACTATAACTTACATAACATTATATTGGTTGAAACATGAACTGGTCGACAACAAAATAACCGAGGACTGAGTTGTTTTGCTTTTATTTGAATATTACCCCCAAACAATGCACACATGCGGTTATTTCATTTTTGAAACATTTGTACGCTTTGTCAATTTCAATGAATGTTATTCTATTTCAGGCAATTGAAGGACCACAATCTTTTAACTCATCCATAAGTCAGTTTGTAAGTCAAGTTTACATTTTTCGTGTTGATCTTAAACAACATGTTAACGTGCCTGTCCAAAGTCAGAATTCTCAACAGGAGTATGTTTAATTTTAGCTATTTTGCCTATTGCGTGTTGATAACAGATTTTTAAAGTCTCTGTTGAGTTAATACACAACGTTTTCTACTTGGTACGACTCAGAGGTTGATAAATTGTATAGACACCTGACTATCATCGAAGGTCATTGGAGGTCGTACTATTATGTTGACCTGTAGACGTTTGTTCTGGTTAGTTTATTGTTTTGCTGGATTGTTATCTCATTGCGCATATCCTACATCTCATTTTATGCATACATTTACAGCGGGTTACAAACAGGGAGGGTTAATGATTCTCATACTCCGTGTAAAGGTACTTTCAAGGGAAATAAGTGGAACAATCTAAATTAATGCTGTCTTTAAGAATTCCTGTCCTGTTAGACAACAAGATTATTTTTCAAAAGTGAAGAAAAAAAGTAAAAGCAAGTAGAAAATACTGGTCAAATGACTTAAAGATGGGAGACCGTTGTTTCAACCGTTTCGGAAACATAATTTGGCGTATATTTGTTTGAACCATAATCATCTGATAATAGATCTAGGATATTTTGACATTTAAAAGATACTGATGGTTATCGATATTCAGTATTGTGGGAACGACCACAGTAGAAATCACACGTGATTTGAAGGTGGATAGTTACTCTTAAAAAAACAACAATAAAGCAAATACAGCCATTATACCATTTAGATATACTTTGTTGGTAGCGGGCGAGCTTAAAATGTGATGTTTTCCATTTGCTATTCAATATTTCAAACATTATATATCATATTCGTTCTGTTAGAAGAAGCACTTTTGTATCATTTATCCCAATTTTCCTGAACATGGTCAGAATGACAGAAATATGGACAACAGTGATGTTCATAAGTCATTAATCATTGTTTAACATGATTAAGAAGACAAATCTAGGTAAAAAAAACCCGAGGTAATCGCATAAACTCTAAAAGGATCTAAATCCGGGTGCGTCATTTGAGAATGGAATCGGGGAATGTGTCAAAGAGACAACAACCCGACCAAAGAGCAGAAAACAGCCCAAGGCCACCAATTGGTCTTCAACACAGCGAGAAATCCCGCACCCTGAGGCGGGCTTCAGCTGGCCCCTAAACAATAATGTATACTAGTTAAGCGAAAATGGACGTCACACGAAACATATAAATGAACCAAAATAGAAAAAAAACATACAAGACTAATATGCATGCATCACCCATTATACGAAGACAACATAATTAACTGGACGTATCCCATTATAACCATCTAATTTTCTTTAAAGGGCTGGTTATCTAAAAGCATGTTATTGTTTGGATCCTACAGCTCAGATAAAATCCACGATACATACAATCAACCGCTAGCATATATTCTTACCTGGATGGGAGTCAGTCTTTTTTATTTGATAGTAGTTGCTGTGGCGTAAGTTGGTTTTATTAATATCTTAACTTGGAACATCTAACAGATTGAACGACTGTATCGAATGTTTCAGTTTTATAAGAGAAAACTAAAACTGACAAACCTTGAAAGAGGGACTTGAGATAAACTGAATAATAACATTAGAAAAATCAGGTGCAAAAATATGGAACTAGTCTGTTCATACTTGCATTAAAAGCCCTGAATGATATCCTCGAACCAAAATTTTAAGTTTCCACGAAACCGACAACGAAACCCAGAAACAAAGAAAATATTAGATATAGCGGACGAGTTGGACTTACAAAAGTTCCATACCCAAAATACTAAGGATATTTTACCCCATGAATATATTACTAGTACCTTAGCTGTATTTGGCAAACCTTTAAAACAATTTTGAGTCCTCAGTGCTCTTCAACTTCGTAATTTATTTGGCCTTTTTAACTTTGTCGATTTGAGCGTCACTGATGAGTCTTTTTGTAGACGAAACTCGCGTCTGGCGTACACAATTTAAATCCTGGTATCAATGATGAGTTTATTCGTACTTCCATCGGTAACTTTGATCGTTGCACTTCAACCTTTATAATTAAATCCTCCAGATCAAGAATCTGACAAATGCTATCATGATATCTATAAAATTGGTTTTTGTTAATTCTGTAATTGCTTGATCTATTTCAGGATGCATATTCGCTACCGACAAAGTAAACTCTCCGACAATGCAGACGACTACGAGTTTGCTCTCAGAACATTTAGCTCGTGGGATTACACAATATACTCTAAAGAGGGAGTGAAAGATAGACGTAAAGCTTTGTGTATGGAGTTAAAGGTATAGCAGGTTTTATATACTTTGTTGAGTATATTTACCTATTTTATAGATTCGAAGCTATGACATATTGTATTGACACCGGTCTTTTTAGCTCACCGGGCCCGAAAGGCCCCATGTGAGCTTATGCCATCACTTGGCGTCCGTCGTCGTCCGTCGTCTGTCGTCGTCTGTCGTCGTAAACTATTTCAAAAATCTTCTCCTCTGAAACTACTGGGCCAATTACCTTCAAACTTTAACTAAATGTTTCTTAGGGTATCTAGTTTATAAATTGTATCCGAAGTTTTGATCCATCGCCAAACATGGCCGCCATGGCTAAAAATAGAACATAGGGGTCAAATGCAGTTTTTGGCTTATATCTCAAAAACTATAGCTTTTAGAGCAAATCTGACATGGGGTAAAATTGTTCAATTGGTCAAGATCTATCAGCTCTGAAATTTTCAGATGAATCGAACAACCCATTGTTGGGTTGCTGCCTCCAAATTGGTAGTTTTAACAAAATTTTGCAGTTTTTTGTTATTATTTTGAATATTATTATAGATATATATAAACTGTAAGCAGCAATAATGTTCAGCAAAGTTAGATCTACAAAAAAGTTAATATGACCATAATTGTCAATTGACCCCTTAAGGAGTTATTGCCATTTAAAGACAATTTACACAATTTGTTCATCAAGTTTGCTAACATTTAAAAATCTTCTCCTCTGAAACTACTGAGCCAATTACCTTCAAACTTTAACTAAATGTTCCTTAGGGTATCTTGTTTATAAATTGTATCCGAAGTTTGTATCCATCGACAAACATGACCGCCATGGCTAAAAATAGAACATCAGGGTCAAATGCAGTTTTTGGCTTATATCTCAAAAACTAAATATTTTAGAGCAAATGTGTCATTGGGTAAAATTGTTTAATTGGTCAAGATCTATCGTCCCTGAAATTTTCAGACGAATCGAACAACCCATTGTTGGGTTGCTGCCACCGAATTGGTAGTTTTAACAAAATTTTGCAGTTTTTTGTTATTATTTTGAATATAATTATAGATATACATAAACTGTAAGCAGCAATAATGTTCAGCAAAGTAAGATCTACAAAAAAGTTAATATGACCAAAATTGTCAATTGACCCCTTAAGGAGTTATTGCCCTTTAAAGACAATTTTACACAATTTGTTCATCAAGTTTGCTAACATTTAAAAATCTTCTCTGAAATACAGGTGAGCGATTCAGGCTCTTGAGAGCCTCTTGTTTAAAAACTGTGTTGACCTTTATATTAAATGCAATGTATTGCGTCGTTAGAATGCTCTATGATTGATGTATACAAAATGTATGTTGCATCGCCTCATATACAACCAAACAGGATGACTGGGTCACAAAACATGGTAACCTGAAATTCTCCCGTCCGGCAATAATAAAAACCATGCTCTGTTTGTGTATTTGTAAAGACATAGCTATGTATGATCAAAACAATTAGATTTAGTATGATGTTTCTTGAAAGCAGAATGTCACGACCTCTGCTCGTAAAAGGGCATTTGAAACAACTCGTTGAAGGGTCTATAATTGGAATATTGCTAGGCAAAATGTATTACCCTCTCCAACCATGCAGCAAATCACATGCGGAGGGGTGTCAGTTGGACGGTGCGAAGTGTATTAAAAGGCAGCCGTATCGGGTCTAAATTGAGGACATTTAATTCAATGCTTATTATAGGGAGAGTGCAAATAGCCATTGAAACAACTCTTTGAAGCTTCCTTAGGTGGCCTGTTGCAAGACATATTCCTACTCTTTCCAACATACCCTGTTTACCAAGTGTCTTTTTATTTTCACTCCGAGAGTCGCACTTTGTAGAACATATCGATTGGATTCATTGTTAATTGATTCTTGCTTTGGATATACATGCATTTTTGTTGCCACTGGCTGTTAAACAAACAACAATAAATCAATCAATTATTACAACAACTATGTATGTGCTGAAAGATAATTCCTTATACAAAGACAAAGCTTAAATGATCGACATGTATTACATGCAACCCATAAATCTAATCATTTGAATTAAAAGATAACATGCGAAAATTTCAACCGCGGAAAGGTGCTAAACCACCTTTCGTACGTATATGGCACCTATATACCTTAATATAACCTGTGTTGTATTTAGGTAAATAACTAAATTTTTTTCAGAGACAAATGCCTGTGGTATATGGACTTTTTTGGTTATGTCTGCTTAAATAACTCCTTTCTTAACTGTCATCGTTTTGTGTGTTCAATGATCATATTAAACAAACCAGCATGGTGTCCTAAGAAACAAATGTGTAACATGTAAGTAAAGTTTTATGATTGGAAACTACAATTCCAAATTTTATTTTCAAAGCATCGATGAAAAAAAGGGTATATATATTCTAAGTGCACTCTTTCAATCTGTATTCATAAAAAATATTTGCTATTATAGGAGCGAATAAGAGAAGAACGTAAATCAAGAAAGCCAAAATTGGAAACAAGGTAACAAGATTATAGACCGTCATATATAAATATATATGTGTGATTAGACATATGGCATATGTCAATGAGACAGCAACACAACAACGAAAATAATATAGTATAGAAGTTTGTTTGACATTATGTTTCTTAGATGCAAAACGTTAAAACAAAATTAAGTTGAAAACAAATAACCACTTATAAATATTCCTGAATTAATACAGGCACACTAATATATATATATAAGAAAATTAATGTAAGATAATGACGGTTTCAATTCATCACTTTTACTAGCGCTTTCACTGCTTTCACAGATCTTAAGGTAATGTGACTTGTATACATAAATGTTATAAAACAATTGATTGACGTTAACAATAGTATGACGTTAACAAATACAAGGGAGACTACTAATGTCATTTTAAAATTGGAGTAAAGTCTTTAAAATGTTTCGTAAAAATTAAAATATTATTTATCATTTAATCCCGGGTTGAGAATGTTTATGATTAATTCTTCTTTCTTCTTCTTCCGGAGAGCATCTTCAAAATTCGACTTTAATGAAACTTTGCCTATTGTTAGAAAATGTACCGATAAACGATGTATGACATGTCCAGATTTAATAGAAGAAAGTTCAATTTATTTCAAAAATGGAAAGCATTTCACAGTTAAACAAAATATGTCTTGTAAAAGTTCAAACGTCATTTATTCTCTCATATGTTCAAATTGTGAGGAATTTTATATTGGAGAGATAAAAACAGAACTGCGGACTAGAATGACTGTGCATAGACAGCAAACCAACCATGAAGATTTAACAATCATCAGGGCTAACGACCATTTCCATCGTTGTTCTAATGGACGATTTAAAATATTTCCGTTGTATATGGTCAATCGTCAAAATGATTTCTCCGGAAGAAGAAAGAAGAATTATTCATAAACATTCTCAACCCGGGATTAAATGATAAATAATATTTTAATTTTTACGAAACATTTTAAAGACTTTACTCCAATTTTAAAATGACATTAGTAGTCTCCTTTGTATTTGTTAACGTCATACTATTGTTAACGTCAATCAATTGATGAATTGAAACCGTCATTATCTTACATTAATTTTCTTATTTGTTACCAGCATACGGATTCTATTTGACTTTTTTTCTATATATATATATATATATATATATATATATATATATATATATATATATATATACAAGTCTAAATTAAAAACAACGTTCAAACCTATGATTGCGTTGGATAAAAACCGCAATTTTTATTCGTGTGCATGCAAAGCAAATTTCTTGGTAGAGGGGTCTAATTACAGCACAAATAACATTTTCCATAGACCAAAAGAGTGAAAAAGTATATTTTATCAAAACGCATTTGACTAGTAGGTCGAACAACTGATGTTCTTAAACCCTGCTGACTGCCATTGGCGATTGCCAAATGAACGGATCACCAGATGTAACAAAATGGATCTTATTTACATAGCTGAAAATGAATCCGTTATTATCAGAATTTTGAACTCATGACAAAATAGTAATTTTAATTTACATTACGGAATGTGTACATTAATATGAAAAGTGTGCAACACCATATTTAATCAAGTAGAGAGATACAAAAAGGACAGAAGAGTCAATCTTCAATTCTATTTTAAAGACTCCTTCGATATCTTGGACGTTTCATCAGCAATATAATTGTATTGGGATTACTTGGTGGAAGTGGTTATCTTGTATATTATGTTGCGGACAAATTTAAACTTCCAGACAGCACGCCTACAGAACTTAAGAAGCTGTTTGATAAATATCAGGTGATTCTTTGTTTAGTTATATGTTTCAATAAAATAATTAGTACTTACATGATCTTATTAAAACAATCATATGTGATCACTTCCTTGATCATGACACGTGTTTCTGGATACTGACAATGCCATGGCAAAAAATGAAAAACTATCAAAAGACAAACAGTTTACGAAACACAACATCGAATACTAAAAACTGAGCAACACGAACCCCACGAAAAACCGGGGGTGATCTCAGGTGCTTCAGAGGGGTAAGCAGATCATGCCCCACTTGTGGCATGTAGGTACAAAAGAGTGACGAAAGATACCAGAGGGAAATTCTAACTCATAGATCGAAAACGAACTGACAACGCCATGGCCATAAATAAAAAGACAAACAGAGAAATAATAGTACAGATGATACAACATAGAAAACTAAAGTCTAAGCAGCACGAACCCCACCAAAAACTGGGGGTGATCTCAGGGGATGATCGAGCTGAATAGAAGATCCAAAAACGTATAATGTCAACGATTTCTGAAAGAGGAACGTCCTTAATTTTAGCAAATTGTTTCATATATACTATGCCAATAACAAAACACTAGCTACTGACAGTTGTCAACCAATACCGGTAACGACCGTGTACTAAAAGAATACCAGTTTGATTTCCTTTCTGGTCATGAATATGCATGAAATGATTTCCACTTAATGTTAAGCAAGCAACAATGAATCAATCCTTGTGCACAACACTATTTTTTGGAATAACGTTCAACATCAAATATGAGTGTTTGCAAATCAAGTTTTTCCTTATTCATTCTTTAGATAATTTCTTGGTTGAATGGTTGTGTAAATGCAGGGACCATTATAATATACCATGTTATGCTGACAAATATATGTATATTTTTCTATAATGTAAATGCAAATTTTATTTGGGTTTCTTTGAAAATGACAGATTACGGATTCTTTGACTGTTTTGGCGCTTTATTTTAATTAGTTCTAATAGAGACCATTTATCCTTGATATTATTTTGCTGTATTCAAAGCCTTACGCACGTAACTGTATTGAAGTGTTATTTGTATTACATAAGAAACAAATTAGTCAATTAATGCCGATTACATATAATTTCGTACAATGCAACAGCAGTTTGGTATTTATATCACATGCTCTTGACTCCATGAAATACACTTGATAATTTGTGAAATGATAACTTTCTTTCAGCTGTCAGTAGTGGTTTCTTTATTGAAGCTTTTTATACCTCTCTTTTTTGAAATTCTGGTTCATCTAGAAGGATGGCCACCAAGAACAGCTCTAAAAGTTACATTGTTTAGGCAAGTATTTGTTACAGTTCAATTTGTAATGGTAATGTATTGAGACAATTATTTGGAATGATGTTAAGATACATCGATACATGTTTTTCTTTACATCAATCATTATTATGAAAAAGACAAAATATGTGTAGGAAATTATCTAGATAGTGACATTCTATTAGGAAACCACAAACAAAACGAGCTTTTCTATGGAACCACATGGTCGAGTATAAGTTTGAAAAGACGTAATATAAACCATACAAACTATGTAAGCAGACAAGATTATATATTTCATAATATCAGGGAATTCAAATGATGGAAAGTCTTAATTAAGCAATTTTGTAATAATAATCAGTGTATGACTGAGAGAAAAAAAGCATAACATACTTTGGATTGGAACCCAACACGCATTTCACTAAACAGAGTAAAAAGTGAGAAATTAAATTAAAAAAAAATAATTAAGCATTGAATTTCATTTTAGGGTGCATTAGCGACATTATCACTGTTAACAAATGTCTACAGATAATTTATATCTATTTGTATATATTATCACTGCATGATATTTTCCAATGAATAATACATTGTATTTTATTTTTGCATTGGTGTGGAAAGTGCTTATTTTATTAATTGATTTTCAAATTTTTATTCGAATAATTATGCAATTTGATCACCCATGTGTTAACCATTATGTATCCTTTGTATTATCTGTTTTGACAATGGTGTTGTATGCCGTATTATAATGACTCATTCGCATATTTAATTTATCTTATCATATTCAAACTTTTTCAGAACAACATTATTTTATTTTGCAAGTCTCGTAGTTTTCGATATGTCCTTACACAATGTCGCATCAGAATGCTCAAGTGATTCATGCAGTGACAAGGTATGAATTATTCATCAAATTTTCATGGATTAATTTGACACAATATGCTTATAATATTTTAACAGAACAGTAATGGAATTCGATTAAGTAGTACAAATTTGACGATTTGCTTTATTTTGCTCTCAACACTTTTAGCCTCGAGCATACCAGATGAAGGCTAATCCAAAATAAATTTAAATACGCACTGCTGTACCCCTATTTTTGACATTATTACCTATTATGTCTGTTTGTTTTGTTCACACATCGTTGTCAATATAGTGGAATTTTATGAGACTGTCATACAAGTGAGAGGTTTAGCTAGCTATAAAACCAGGTTTAATCCACCATTTTCTACATAAGGAAATGCCTGTACCAAGTCAGGAATATGACAGTTGTTTTCCATTCGTTTGATGTATTTGAGCTTTTGATTTTGCCATTTGATAAGGGATATTCCGATTTGAATTTTCCGATTTGAATTTTCCTTTGAGTTCGGTATTTTTGTTATTTTACTTTTTTTCAATCGTTACTCTACCTTTATATTTGAATGGAAACAGATCAAGAAAGAAACAAAACAAATGTTCAATGTGCACGTTTCATTGTGGATAGGAAATAGAAAGTAACTGAAGTTGAAATTTATTTTCGAAATGAAGGTTGGATAGCACTGTCAAACATTTTCATATGACTTAAATGAAAGTGTGATCGTTCGATCGACTGTTACTTCCTCAACGTCCAGTGGCAATTGTTTCAAGGATAATCAAGACGAGAATATATTAGCAATAAATACAAAGGAAGGTGCTACAGGATGATACAACCTTGAATTTGGCGAGACATTTGGACTGCCTCTAGAAAATAAGTGGTTTGTATATAAAGATTTGAAAATAAAAGAGACAAAAAATACAAGTGAACTGAATTCTAAACTTTTTAAAGATAGTAATAGAACATATTTTCTTATGAAATCTGTATGATGGAACTATAAATTCAACTATGTCAATGAAATATGTTTTAGGGTATAAATACAACTGACGTTTGCTGTTGGGAGAATCGAGTTGGAGAAGAAGTTCTGAAAGTGGTGTTTATAGATCTGGGTTTATGTATAGCTGTTGGATTGTTTTTTCATGTTGCGAAAGCTTTGTTTATAAAATGTAGAATTTGTTGTATTCAGGTTTGTTTGAATATATCTCCAAATAGAACCATATTGCGTTCCTCTGTTGGTAGTTTTTACGATATGGCTTTACGATTATGTTTATAATCTTTTGCCTTCATATATTGTTTGTATATTATTCACACACACACAAAAAAAGAAACGAAACTTCGAAACTAGAACTTAACTACACCAAAATAAACGGAAACTACAAAACCGAAAAATACACGTGAAACTTAGTATAAGTTACTCCGAACACCTGATGTTTGACAGAAAAGTAAAGGCAACAGTAGTATACCGCTGTTCAATAGTCATAATTAGAAAACAAATCCGGGTTACAAACTAAAACCGAGGGAAACACATCAACTATAAGAGGAAAACAACGGAACAACAGAAACACAAAACTGCAACAAAAACAAACGCCAACATACATAGAAACGGACTATTTGATAACAACTGCCATATTCCTGACTTGGTACAGGACATTTTAAGACAAAACTTTAAAGGCCTGGTGTAATAAATATATTGTTTCTGCTATTGTACATTTACTCTTCTGACTTTTCTGTTATAATGAGGGTGAGTTTTTTTTACCTAAATAAAGCCCACAACATTAAAGAAGTTACTTATTGAGTTGACTTAAAAGTTGAAAAAAACCTTTATGAAATTTACGACTACATCCTTTGTAGATACAAACCAAAACATTGGAAATGTAATTTGTACTTGATTTTAATTATATAGTATAAATCAGAATTCCAACTTCTTCTAATAAATATTGGAGTTTCAATTTGTACAGGGAGGGCCCTGTGTCCACATTATATGGGAACTTATTGCACATTCGTTATTCTTATTCATTTTGAAAACATTTTGTATCCATATAATTAGATGAAATGTTTTTTTTTTAATTCAAACTCTGAAGATCAATAAAATAGATTCCAATTTGCAATAACATAACCTCAGAGCAAGAGTTAACAAAATGATTAAAAAGTGTGAATATCTCTAAATCAAGAAACATTAAACAAATGGAGTCAAAACAACATGCCCACGTTATCTCATTAACAATATATATAGAAATTGTTTTCAGAAATAAGACTGACAATTATCCATAGTGCAAATGCTAGGCACTTGAATGAAACCAATAACCAATCATGTAGTTATGGTGCTTGTTCTGAATTTCAGTTAGAACTTAGTGAGTTTGGCATAACATCTAGTGTGTTAGACTTGATATATGGACAAGGATTGATATGGCTTGGATTATATTTTTCTCCATTGATAATAGTGATTGGAATTATTAAACTATTCGTTGTGTTCTACACACAGTTATTCGTCGCCAAAATGGCTATGGTTGCTCCAAAGAAAGTATTTCGAGCATCACGATCTGGGAACTTTTATTTGTTTATACTCCTTCTCACATGGTTTTTGTGTATACTTCCAACTGCTTACACTATTGTAGAGTAAGTTATTTTTATATAAGTTTGTTTGTGTATTGCAACATTATAAATGTATAGTGTACACAATAAATGAAACATGGAAATGTAAGTGATGATGCATTGAATTGTGACCTTTCACATAAAGATACACTTGCTTTTTCTAAAGTTCTCTTTATTTACAATAGTGTATAATATTCTTTATCCCACCATCTCCCCTATCAAAGAAAAAAAAAGCAAAAGACAAAAACCAAAGGAATAGAAATATGAACCACAATATACTATTGGAAAGAGAACTATATTTTGGAGTCTGATGACAGCAGCCTTAATTTTCTGATGTCATCCATATTGTACTTTTGTTGTATAAAAAAAGTAATTGCGTAGCTAAGCTAAAAAGTAAAAACAACCGTCCATATAGAACAATATATAATTAAAGATTGAGCAGCTTGCAATCACGAGCACATGCAAACAACGGGATGGTCTCATATGCCCTTTCCGCTATTTTGATGCATAAGTTGCACTGGTCGTGATACGCAGGGTAGTAATCATTCCATAGTTTATACATAGGGAACTTAGAGCAACATCTTTTAAATATTACCGATACTAGATGCTTGCACGGCATGTATTGTAACCGTTTTTTACAGAGTAAGTCCCTCTGCAGATTGTGGACCTTTCAAAAAGATGTGTAAGGCATATGATGTGATATCTCATAGCATTGGAACCTGGCCAACTTACCTTGAGGAACCTGTAAAATATATTGGAACAGCGGCTGTAATTATTCCTGTACTTATATTGCTATTGTAAGTTCATTTGGATTGACTTTTTGAATAATTGTTGGTTGCATAACATCCAGTGGGTACAATTGAATGATTTAGTTATATAAATAAAAAACAAACAGTATTGAATAATTTTTCTAATTATATAAACTACATGCTTGTGAAAGAATACTATATTCAAAATACGTTATTCGGATGCCATAAATACCAATAACAATATGGTTATTACAATAACCATCCGAAGACTTTAGGGATGCCTTTAAAACCATCAATTAGGATTCAAAATCAATTAGAAGATTATGTAGATTAAAAGACTTCTTTTCTGTATCTCTTTATCAACTTTGAACTATAGTTCCTTAAAGTGTTCTTGGAATGAGTTAAACATACTGCAGAAGATATACCAGCAACACATAATTCAAGAAAGGAGAAGAAAAACACTTTGATACATGTAACAATTAGTTTTTATCCTCTAGATTAATTATAATGTAATCCAATCTATTTTTACGGTTTGTGTCGCAAATCATTGATAAGGTCATGTTCCTAAATTTACTTTTCATAAAATGTTGATTCATTCGAAACACTAAGACTTTTTTCCATTCTCCTAGACATAAATAACTTTAGCCGAATTTGGCATAGTTTTTATGCCCCACCTACGATAGTAGAGGGGCATTATGTTTTTCGGTTTATATGTCCGTTCGTCCGTCCGTCCGTCCGTCTGTCCCGCTTCAGGTTAAAGTTTTTGGTCAAGGTAGTTTTTGATGAAGTTGAAGTCCAGTCAACTAGAAACTATGATATGATCTTTCTCATTTTAATGCCAAATTAGAGTTTTGACTTCAATTTCACGGTCCACTGAACATAAAAATGATAGTGTGAGTGGGCACCCGTGTACTATGGACTACTTCTTGTTTATTGTGTTTTATTTCAATGATTTTTACTTCTTATTTGATTTTGCCTTCAAGCAATTTTTTATTCGAGCGTCACTGATGAGTCCTATGTAAGCGAAACATGCATTTGGTGTACTATATTTTAAGACTGGTGTATTTGTAGTTTGTACAATCACTGGGTAGAGGCTGCTGTTCTGATATGAAAATAAAAAGAAATATGGAAAGGAAAGGAATAATTAATTTAAAAACAAAAACCAGAAATAAGACAGGAACATGAAAAATCAGGATCCAGAATCTTAACTTATTTGCTTTTATATATTTCGTTTAAATTTTACATTAGTTTGTGTTATTATTTAGGTTGATAGCTCTTTACTACAGAGCCAAATCTTCCTCTTATGCTGATCTGATTAAAGAACTTAGAAATCAACTGAAATTTGTAAGTACTCAAATTGACTATGCTTTTTTGCTGTTTTTGCTTTTGATATTTGTTATTTGGCGATAATTTTCAACATAAGCTATTGAAAAATAGATATGAAACAATAAATAAGTGAAAATGTTAACTTTCAGTGGTTATCATTCATAAGTAAGTATTAATGCTATTGTTATTGAAAAGAGCTTTATTTTTTGCATGTTTTATCACTGTTGAGATAATTACAATGATATCGCAAGGTAATTCAATTAAGAGCTTTGAATTAACTAGGAAAAAATACGTGAAAATAAACTATCATCCATGTGTGTTGAGTTATTCTCTAGGATTTTTCATAGGAAAGAAAAGTTGAGAAGAGGAAAGTTTATGCAAGTGCTCTTTCTACACCTTGTAAGTTTAATACTGAACTTTACATCAGAATGTTATTATTAAATAAAGAAAATACGTGGCAAAGGAATGAACAACAAACATTCTAACAATTTTTTGGGTTTCTCATAGAAATATAAAAATAAGGAGATGTGGTATGATTGCCAATTAGAAAGCTATCCACCAAAGTTAAAATGAAGTGGATGTAAGCAATTATAGGCAACCGTACGATGTTCAAAAATGAGAAAAACCGACACCGCATATTTGGCTGTAAAGGTCCCGACATGAAAAATATGAAACAATTCAATTGAGAAAACTAACGACAAAAATCTATAACAAAACAATTCACGAAACATAATATGTTGTTTTAATATATTACCCAACTTTAACATATAATATCAGTTATATTCGTGTTTCTCAGTCTTTAGTTAAACCTTGTTGTGTACTGTTGATTGTCTTTTTGTCGTTTTGCGTTTTTGCCATGACATTGTCTGTTCTCGACTAATGAGTTTGATTATACTTTTGGTATCGTTCTTCTTTTCTATTATAGATTTCCTATTTAAGATCTATAATAGCCTCCACATTTGTACAAACATTAAATCAAACGCACACATGAAACATAGACATAATATTATTTAAGCTATTTATCAAATACTGGATTGTTGAATATAGATGATTAAATTGGATGATGGTGCAGTTGAAATGCTGTTTATATTTAAAGAGATTGATTTCTTCTATGCATCTGCAACTTCTTAACTCCATCACACAGCAAGCTCAATCTTGATATGAATGTTTATCGTATTTTTGTGAATGTTTTTATCAATATCGAGTACAATGCTGTGTGCCTTTTAATGATGTTTTTTCTTGAATTTTTCGTAGTTGGCACAGCAAGTAAAGCCACGGGACAAAAGTACGATTTTGATATGGAACAGACAAATTTTCCAATGATAAAGACAAACCCATAAGATGTAAAATATGTAATAGTGATGACCAAAGGTACTCAGATAATTTTGCATCAACATAATCTTAACAATTAATATAAAGTGACAAATAGATCTTGGATGAATAGTGCAATAAATATTGATGTATTATACCATATTGTCAGTGTTAGAAGGACAAACTGATACATGTTTTTGCACTTTTTTGCAATTCAGTTTTGTGCAATTCTGTAATATCTAAACCATCTAACGTGGTCGTGATTAATTGTATTGATACAGTAATATTAAAGACTTTTTAATATCTTGAAAGTAAAACAACAACAAATCAGTATAATAAATGACAATTTGCAATTTAACAGTAATGTATATATAAGCCATACCAACAACAACAACAATACTTTATATTGATAGTGTTACACCGCTAGCTATATAACTCATCTTCCCTGATTCCCTCATCACAGAAAAGCATAAAAAAAAAGTCGTTGAAAAACGACAATGCAGACATATACATGAATTACATTAGTATAAAAGTCAAGTATAACGATCAATGTTCAATACAACTGCATAAAATGTTATAAAAAAATAAACATGAGGAAATAATTAATATCTTAATTTTTTGTTGTTGAATTGGCTGATTTCAATAAATGATCTGTTAATTTGTAATAAAAAGAATTAACATTTGTAATAATTCGTAACGATTTAGACAAATTGTTCCACAAGAATGGTCCAGAATACATAAAAGATTTCTTGAACAATACGATTTTTGGTTTAGGGAGCATGATGTTTCCTTGAACAGCATTTCTCAAGGGGCGTGGATTTATGCCTGACATATAATGAAACTTGCTAGTAAGATATGATTGGGCATCATTTTTGATGCACTTAAATGTTATCACAAATTTGTGATATTTTATTCTCTATTCACCTGTCATCCAGTTTGAATGTTTGTATAGGGGGTGAGAAGGAGCAAAAGGATATGGTTCTTGTATCATTCAAGCAGCTCTCTTTTGTAATTTTAAGATCATATTTAAACCCTCACTGCTACAATAATAACAATAACAATCAATACGTGGTAAGATACACATGTAACCATTATAAAATAATTTTTGCAGTCTAGATTAAGAAATTTCTTAATCTTTAGTAGTAGATATAGCCTAGGTGAAATTTGTGAGCAGATCAAATTAATTTATCAGATATGTATAAATACGCCATCATTTGTAATTAGACATAAAGAACATGTGTATAGATAAAAAGAACATCGATGATATTTTGATTAACAACCTAAAGACTGCTTACAAAATTCTATTTTTAATTTCTCATTTCCTTTTAGATATTTCCAATATGACATTTCTCACTTACAACTTGACATTTCTACGTCTAAGTGTGACAGTTATGCATCAATTTAATATATGAGTTCAAAATAGATATGTGATGAATAGTGCAGTAAATATTGAATTATTGTACCACATTGTCAGTGTATGAAATGGCAAAACAATTATGTATGAATATGTCATCATTTTGTTAATGTAAAATAAAATACATGTGTATACATAAATAGGACATCCGTAACATTTCGATTAAAAATCTTAAACTACGAAAGACTGGTTAGAAAATATTTATTTCTCATTTCCTTTCAGACTTTTTCTACTTCCAATATGACATCTCACACTTCCAAGATACATTTCTCACTTTCTAGTTGACATGTCTCACTTCAAAGGGGACAGTTCTCATGATCAAATTGACATTTCTCAGTTACCAGATGCCATTTCACAGTTCCAATTGACACTTACCTCTTCCCAATTGACATTTCTTAATGCCATTTGAAAGTGCAAAATGTCAAATTGGAAGTAAGAAAGCCATGTTAGAAGTAAGAAATTTCAAAATTTAAAGCAGAAATTTGAGAAATACAATATCCCTAACAGTTATTCGTTATATAGATTCGAGGACACACTAGTTTACTAATGTTCAAATCTCATAAATCTATGTTGAAGATACAATTCAAGGTAAAATACAAACACTGAGGGAATTGCATGAACGCCGAAAATTCGAAAACGTGTGCGTCGGAAGGGTAAGAACCCTATGTATGCATCATCCTCCATACGAATCCGCTCAGTAAACATTTCACAAACACACGAGTAATGGAAAAATTAGGTAAATGTACTGATCTGTCGACTGTTCTGGTATATAAAGAAAGATTGAAGACTGCGAACACATGTTGCTTATTAGTTGAGACACAAACACATTTTAAACTCGTTAATTGAAATGTTATGGTCGTCCAAGCACTTACTTACATTTATATTAGTGTGTTGCTGTGTGCTTTATTTGATAAAATTATGCTATTTTCTAAAATTGTTTAACATATAATGGAATTCATGTTCCCTTTTTTAATGAAAAAAAATGTACATACGATTCGTCATTTCGAATTCATCGGAAATAATTGGAACACTTTAACAACTTGAAGTCATTGACTGAATTTGCATAGTTTAGTATTTTCCAATCGCAACATTTCAGTACACGTTTTGGAAATAATAGTGAAATTCTTTGTCTACTGCATGAAATGTCTATTTTTTAACATTAATTATGACTTCATAAAGTCATATGAAGTCATATCAAATTAACAGTATTTAGCTCGTTATTATCTGCAGTTATATTAACATCATTTTCAACGACAGTACTGTTTTCTTTGTATTTTCCCTTTGATTTTGATGTTTCACCGACAAAGTTTTTAATGTCCATTGCAGAACGTCGTCTATCCACAGAAATTTCACTGTGCACTTTAGTATTTTCATTATATGTTTTTACAATGTCTATGCCTTCAGTAATGAGTGGAACAACGATAATGAATAAAGCAGCTAAATATGCCCAGACCTGTCCAACTGTGACCTGAAATTATACAAATAAAACGTTTTGTTAAATTTTACAATTGCATAAGTTGAAAAGATCAACTCAGAACATGGTGTTTGATAATTTGGGTGGCTATTTGCATGTGCCCAAAACTGCAAATTTTCATTTACTCAAAATTTCAAACGATCAAATACGATACGTTTTCGGTGGGTTTGCAGATGAATAAGTAAAGAGTTGTGATTATACACAATAATACATGAATACCAGAAAATCACACACAAACACACATACAAAAGATTACTTACAGTGTTAACAACGTATCAACAAACAAAATAAAAACACCTGGGGCTTTTTTTAAAACAACATATTCTATTACAATGTATATATATTATCTATAAGAAGTTCACACGTTATTTTGGCCACAGTTAATAGATTAAATTTGATACAAACTGCATGCAGTCCACAGAATATTTCAAAGACAAATAACGAATGAAAGATGCTTCGGAATTGTTTCTGTTGGACTAATAGCACCGCCCACGATGTTCAGTTTGGATTCTGATAAGTTGTGTTTGGTAATAAGGCTTCATACCTTCGCAGATTGATACATGTCCCTAGTCTAACTGTACGACATGACCAACTTCATAAACCAGCGATGCCTGTATCATCTGAAACACTTTAACTTTATTGTTGTGTTCCAAATAAGCCAGAAATTCCTGTTCTAGTATTAACGTTTGTGGTATTGTACATAAAATAATGTTCTCCATGAAATATTGTTTGTCGGACAAAATTTCATATAAAATATTGTCCACGGACACTATTTCATAATAAAATAATTTCATTATAAAGTAGTGTCCTTGTCCATGAAAATGTGTCACCTCCTTCTGGACAAAATTTCATTATGAAATACTGTGAAATTCTGTCCGTGACAATATTTCACTGTGAAAATGAAAATGTTTCTCAATCTAATTATGTCTTTCCTGAGAAGTCCTCTGCCATGAAATTGTGAGCGTTTCTGGGATTTTTTAAATATTTTTTCAGAAAGAAGTCCTACTATACATCTACAAAATATTGTCTGTATATGGACAAAATCTTATATGGAAATTTGTCCTTTTCTGGGCTTTATTTCATAGATGGGGACAGAATTTCATGATACAAAGTCATGAAATATTGTCTTTGAATATTTCATAGGACAATATTTTGCTTCACAGTATAGTTCATATGAGCAGTTGCATTTGGTGATAGTCATAAACAAGAAGAAGATAATGAGGAAACGGCAAATGAACATATCCATACTGTGTGGGACATTGATATATATTCCATATTGCATATGGTCAACAAAGTTATGACGGCTTCATTAATCATGACATCATCTTTACAATTAAAAACCTTTGTTTTACATATGTTTTTATGTACACATGAGTCTTTTCAAGTTAATACTAATGGGAATCACAAGCATTGGAATACTAGAATCATATCAACTGATTCCTCGAATGAAAGTGCTGCTAGATGTTGTTTTACAAATGACCTGGCTTTGGTTTAAATCGCCTAAACAAATTGCAGGCGAATTTAAAAGAGAGAAACAATACAAACCATTAATGCATTTTTTTTTAAAACTGATTCAAACATTTTTTATGGTTGACAAACAAATAGATTTGGGAGGTGTAGGGGGTGGGGGGTTAGGGTACTTAAATTGAGAAACAGCCTCATTTAGATCTTTGTCCTATTTGTACTTCACGAATAAAACTTGTGTGGCGGTTTCTTTCTAGATAAACTGTTAACACAGAGATATGTCTTGTCTTTTTTGTTATTTTGATAATGCAAATGTTGTAATTAAAATAGCAATATTTTAACATGTAAGTTATGTAAAATTTTCAAAGTCAATGAACTATGACTGAAAGTACCGGACCAAACAATCTCGATTGACATGAGATGTACCAATGCTAATTCAATTGCATACTAAATATCATTCACTTATCATAAGTCGTTCCTTTTAAACAAACATTAACTTCTAAACTATGTAAAAGTTTCAAATTCAATGAACCATGATGAGGGGTTAGAGCCATATTCTCTCCATGAAAATAAAACTTGCAAAGGCCAACATATCATTGACTTAACATAAGTGGTTCATCTTGAACTGATCTAATACAAACGTTAACATGTTAACTATGCAAAACATTCAAAGTCAAAAGGCAATGACTGAGGGAGCATGGCCAAATAATCTCCATGGAAGTGTAATGTGCAAATGCTAATACATCTGTATACAAAATATCATTGATCTACCACTAGTGGTTCACCATAAACTGACCTATTTACAAACTAATACATTGTTGTCGACGCCTCCGACGCTGGAAAAGCACACCTATGTCTCGCTTTTTGACTCCGTCAAGGCAAGACAATAAGATTGTTGAACAATTTCGTCTGTCATATAATAATGTCGATTTGCAGATATTATTAGAAGTGAGAAGTTAGAAGGACCGAATAAAATATGTCATACAAAACTCAAATGTATTATCTCTGATACATTATTATAAAATATTTTCTTATGAATTCCCATAAATATATGTTTAACATATCACAAGTAGAGAGTTACATAGTAGCAAAAGACTCAAGAATGTTCTACTGTTAATTCTTTAAGCAATGGAATGGATCAGCGTGTACGATGTGTATCTAATAAATCCTGTTTGGTCATATCTTAAAATTGTAATCACTAGAACACACCCGCGAAATCGCGGGCATTTAGAGCGTGGTTGAAAGTATGAAAACTGTTGTAGGATGAATTTTTGTAAAAGATTTTATGACTGGAGAATTTCAGGAAAGGTATCAAAAGTATCTTTAACATGAACTGATGTCAATATAACATTTTGAATTTTTCACCAGTTCAAAATATTGGATGTAAATCTAAAGAATGTCAACGCAAAGGTCAACTATTTGTAGTAACTTGAACGCACAATTTTTAGGAGGCTAGTTGCTTTGTCATCATGCTTTTTGTTTCATTGTGCCGAAGACAGAATAATCGATATGTTAATCTTTTCAATTTCAGTCACTCGAAACAGATTCCACTAAAGAAATCAGATTATTATGTGATATTTGCAAATAAGATTGGAATTATGAATTGAGCCATAATAAAATACTCAATAAACAATGCGATTTGTGCACAAAACCGTCATACTTTACTGAAATATGGAAATGGCGTCAGACTTAATAAAGTGTTTACTTTTAAGAAAAAAAACTAACTCTAATATGGGGTGTTTATTACGTCATATTAATAGAGCCATAATAAAACTTAATACTCAATAAACCACAACCACTATAATTCGACTACGTCAGAATGCGATTTGTACACAAAATCGACATATTTTACTGAAATGGCGTCAGAGTTTTCAGTTTACCATATTAGAATCAAAATAATTCATGCATTCCAAAGAATTGTTTTCATTTTCACATGGCCTGGTGTCGTTATATTCGTTAATTTTATCCCTTGCTTACGCTCGGGATAAAATTCCAATATAAAGACCCAGGCCAAATGAAAATTTTCAACAAATCCATGGCTTGTGTCATAGGTCAAATTTATTTGTTCAGTGTATGTTCAATGGAGTTAATATGTCCTTTGATTGAGTTAAGCTATTTCAGTTGATATTTTATAGTGTGTCTTTCTATGTTGTGATGTTACACTATTGTTTCAGAAAAAGGGTGAAGGTTTGGTACCATTAAAACATTTAAACCCGCTGCATTTGTTTGCACCTGTCCTAAGTCAGGAATCTGATGTTCAGTAGTTATCGTTTGTTGATGTGGTTCATAAGTGTTTCTCGTTTCTCGTTTTTTATATAGATTAGACCGTTGGTTTTCCCGTTTGAATGGTTTTACACTAGTAATTGTTTGGGGCCTTTTATAGCTTAGTGTTCGGTGTGAGCCAAGGTTCCGTGTTGAAGACCGTACTGTGACCTATAATGGTTTACTTTTATAAATTTTGACTTGGATGGAGAGTTGTCTCATTGGCACTCATGCCACATCTTCTTATATCTATCTTATTGCATGAATTATTTCGTAAATAAAACATGATTATATATACCGTTTCGAGGGGTCCCAAGAAATCAGATTTTTATCGCTTCCAGGGACCGAAGGAATGTATGATACCGGTTCCTGTAGCTCTGGTACCCAAAACATTGTATGTAATCAAGTTAGGAATTAAGGGTTGTTTGTAAAGTTACCAAAATTCTGTGTAATTTTAAACAGTCTTAAACGGAAGTCTTGTCTATGACTTAAAAGTATGTCCGATGACGAAAACAATATCCGGACGTCTTTATTTTCGTTTTCTTCCCAAAATAACCCAAACGGAATAATCATAAGCGATGATGACAAATGCGACTATGCATGGTATCTATAGGACACAGAGGCATGATGATTAATTTATTGTGGAAGGAAGTGAAGCGACACACAAAATAAAGTCTTCTCATTTAATAGTAAAGATAAATATTATTTACAAGTTTGAGATTTTGATTGAGGGTTATTGTATGTCACATATATTTGGGTGGAAACTATTTGGAACCAAATGGTTAAATTGACAATTAGACGATGCACGAAATGTATAAAGTGTAATTGTTGTTTTATAGTTAACCAGTTGTATATGTGAATTGATAATAAATCAAATAATCACATGGGTAAACAGATTCAACACGATCAAATACAGATTTTATTACCTATGCACACATGTTCTAAAAGGAAATATGAAAACAAATTGAAGCTTATGAAGAATCATTCCAGATCATTATTTACGTTAGATGATACAAAAGAATTGTCTTGTCAGAATTCTAACTTACCCATATATTGAATTCTGTATTATTTAGTACTCCAGAGGCTATCATTATTGTAGGCCATACTACAATCAATAATGACATGCAGCCTAAACCTCCTACTATAGCTATTACACTTGACATTCGAAAAGTCTTTTTAATATGTTCTAGGTCTGGTCGACAGTCTAATGAAGTCGCTTCTTTTAAACCAAGGTCCCTATTAAAAGAAAACATATCATTAAATGAAAATTCTTAGACACAAGTTAAATATATATTTAATAATATAAGGCGGATGTTACTCGTGTGAGAGGACAAAGTCCGTATCACTCATATTACCATTACTATATATGGCATTACATCCTTGTTAAAATAAATCATGCAATCTTTTTAGGTGGCGCCTTGATTCGTATATTTTGACCTGACAAGGATCCCCTATACCAAATATAAGTGTCCTATTACTCATAATAAGTGAGAAACTCACATGACAAAAAACTATACATTTCATTTGTCAGCAGTCGCTGAACCATGAATATAAGGTCATGGACAAGGTAAATATAACATACGGAAACTTCATAACATAAGACATCCAGGTATGAAGGTATGAAGCATTCAGATATCCTACATTTTAAATATAAAGCTTTATACAAATAGTTAAAACCGCCGTCGGTTTAACATCCCATTGTCTCGCACTCTGCGACTTTCGTGGAGACAATTAAACAGATTATCCCATACATTAAACATGACTGCAAAGTAACAATTAGAAGCCCCTCTTAATTAAGCATAAATCTTTCTAATTTATTTACATAAGGTAAATATTAACATAATTCCGTTCATGTTGTTCTAATCAACAATTTGCATGAATTCTTATAAAACACACATTAGATACAAAAACATGTTCCTTTGCTTTTTGTGTGTTTTTTGTTGTGCATGTGCTGATTTCGTGTCATGGATGGATACCCCATATCCTTTGTTTTCTATTGACTATATTATAATCTTACGTAGCGTAAAGCTCGGTCCAAGGACTCAGTGGACTGTCAATAAAACATCCCTTTGTCTCGCACTCTGCGACTTTCGTGGAGACAATTAAACAGATTATCCCATACATTAAACATGACTGCAAAGTAACAATTAGAAGCCCCTCTTAATAAAGCATAAAACTTTCTAATTTATTTACATAAGGTAATATTAACATAATTCCGTTCATGTTGTACTAAACAACAATTTGCATGAATTCTTATAAAACACACATTAGATACAAAAACATGTTCCTTTGCTTTTTGTGTGTTTTTTGTTGTGCATGTGCTGATTTCGTGTCATGGATGGATACCCCATATCCTTTGTTTTCTATTGATTATATTATAATCTTACGTAGCGTAAAGCTCGGTCCAAGGACTCAGTGGACTGTCAATATCTCTGGTCAGCTCCCAAGTTTCATTGTACATTCCTGACCCTTTCTTATGTGATTGAAAACAGCTTACCAGAACACACATCGTACCACCGACACAAATAGATGTTATATTTCCTATCAACATTGGTAGCTCCTTTCCTGTAGAAAAATGAATACCATAAATTAAGAAATTATTGCGAGGTTTTTATTCATGCGAATAATGCGACTGAAAGAGTATCGCAATACTACGAACTCGCATTTCTGATACATATATATATGTGAAATTTTCCTGAATTTAGCTTGCATTTTTGTTCAGTTTTCTAAAATCGTAATAATAAATGCATGCAATAATTTCTGAATTTACAGTATTAAGTTATATTTCCATATATATATACTAAAGTAGTTCAATTACATCATATCAAAATTCTTTCCTTCGTTTGGGGAAAATTAAATTCAATGCTATCAAAATTTAATAAGAATAATATTTTACGAATGTTCTTTGATATTGTACTTCGTACTGAAACTGTGAAATTAACAGCAATGATATTAAGATATATACCTGTGTTATGAATAAAGTTGGATAGTCCACCGCTATATAATGATGCAACTGATAACCATGCTATCAAAGCCGCCACTGTACCACTTATACCCCCAGCTATCATACCAGGTCCCGTAAGTTTCTCCCAAAACATACACAGAATAATAGGTATCACAGCTGATCCAATCAAAATACCCATGAAAAGGTACAACCAGGAGAGACTGACCTGGAACAAAAAGTATTTAGGAAATTCAATAGAACCGTATAGCCATTAATAAAGGCAACAGTAGTATACCGCTGTTCGAAATTCATTAATCGATTGAGAAAAAACAAATCCGGGTTACAAACTAAAACTGAGGGAAACACATTAAATAGAGGAGAACTACGGCACAACAGAAACACAACATAGAAATGTAACACACACAGAAACGAACTATAATATAACAATGGCCATTTTCCTGACTTGGTACATGACATTTTAAGAAAAAAATGGTAGGTTGAAACTGGTTTTGTGGCTAGCCAAACCTCCCGCTGTATATTCATACTATTTAAACAGGACAAGCTACCAAATATTGGTGGAGCGTCATCATAGATATGTTGCTTATTCTATAAGACAGTGAAAGTAAAATGATATTATTTTTTAATTAAGTTAAAAATTCTCTAAAAATGATGGGTATTGAATGTGAATGTGAAATTATTATTCTTTTCTATAAATTGTTTCTCTTATAAAAGTCTTTTGAAATATTTTTTTAGCTATATGATGCTCTCTAAAAAGCATTTATTTTCTAAATACATGTCGCTGAAAAGTATCAAACGTATTTTACTCTAAGTTAAAAGAAGTCATTCCTTATTATATTGATACAAAAAGATTTAAAAAATGGGACGAAATTTTCTTTTCCATTTGTAATTATCCGTCTAATTGCGTTATTAATAACTAATAATTCATAACTAATTTCTTTACGATTTATTGGTGAAATATGGTTCTACTCCAAGAATTCAACGTAGGTGGTATGTCATGCTTGGCTTTTAAATAGTAATATCGACCATAGAGCAAACACGTTTTACAATTATTCATTAAATGTTTCCTCTTTAATTACAGGCATTAAAACTTTTCATATGCATGGCTAAAAACTTCTATATTTTCTTTTCTGTGTTCAAATACACATATATCAACATTGTGTGTTACACAAAATTGTGTTTTTCTGTACGATTTATGATGCTATTGTATTAAATCTACTTCGAAGAATAGTGGTGATTATTAGAGTGTAAGAAGGTATAATCCTTATATGGACATATGAATTCAAGTAATTTCAGTTTGTTCTCAGTAAGATTGAGCATTCCGTGATACAAACTAATTAAACTCATCATAGATACCTGCATTTAAATTGTGTACACCCGACGCGCATTGAGTCTACAAAAGACATCATCAGTGACACTCGAATCAAAAAAATGAAAAAGGCTAAATAAAGTTCGAAGTTGAAGAGCATTGAGGACCCAAAATTCCGAAAGGTTTTGTCAAATACAAATAAGGTAATATATTCAAGGGGTAGATAATCCTTAGTATTTCGGATTTTTTTTTATAAACAGTTAATTCATAATTATGACCATATCAATTATAATTCAGTTCAACACAGAAGTGCTTTTTGTTATTGTTATTTATAATTTTTATCATTTTGTATTGTATTACTTGTTTTTGGATGGTCAAAGCTTAATGCTTTTTGTTAACTAATTTTATTTTACCATTCCAGTGCTATGAGATATTTGCAAAGTGAAAAAGGTAGAGTCGAATGTTTAATAAAAACTAAACTTGCCACATGTAACTATTTAAAGTCTGTAACATCTTAAGTTGTTGTCTGTGGGTTGTTTCAACATTTGTATTTTTGTTAAACTAATTCGTGTTGATGATAAAAATTATTTTGGATGGCCATTGTTAAATTTATTCCTAACTTGTTAAGACTCAAGGTTTTGATCTTGATATAAGTTATCGACACTTTTCAATTATTTAAGACTAACTGTTGGCTTGTAGATGTCTTTACTGTGATTCGTTTTGTGTAGTTGGGTTGCTATTTTTTTCTATAAAAATAAGGAAACATGATTGCCAATGAGACAACTCTCCAGCAGAGGCCAAATGACATAGACGTTAACAACTATAGGTCATCGTACGGCCTTCAACAATGAGCAAAACCTATACTACAATTTGTGTACATAGTAAGCTTTAAAAGGCCCCTCAAACGAGAAAACTAACGGCCAAATTTGTGTACAAAACAATAAACGAAAAACAAATATGAAATACAGCAACAAACGACAACCACCGAATTACAGGCTCCTGACTTGGGACAGGCTCATACAGAATAGCTCACATATTAGTGAAAAAGGACATCCAGATTGTTTTTCCTCAAACTTTTGATTGGAATATTGTGCTCTACAAATTATTATTTTAAGCTCATAAAAGGTCTAAATGAGACTATGGAAATCAATGCAATGCAGTACCCCCGAAAAGGAGGAGGCATGAGAAGAGACATTATGTTGTCCCTAAATTGTAAAAAAGGTAAACTTATACAAGTTTTTAGAAATTTTGTGAATATTATAGATATAATCTGGACACTATGATACAGAAAGGTCACTTGTGATGTTACATGTAGAAATTTGCGCCTATTACCTAAATTGGCCATTTATACATAGCTTTTATATATTTTGCGCACATAAACATATTTGTGAATACATACCGTTAAAATTTTGAGAAGTACCGTTAGAGGTATAATACACAAGACCGTCCACATCAGGCACCAGTTCTTTAGTCTTAAAAGGTAGTCTACATATATTCTAAAATTACCATGTGTTTTGCACATAAACTGTGGTTTTATTGTTCTTTTGCACATGCTTATCTCTCTGAAATATAATTTGATTAATGATAAATACGTAAAGCACAATGATAGAATAATTTGTATCAACACTTAAAACTAATAGAAATGATCGATGAAAAACATTATTTGGTATATGAATTCAATGCATGTTATATGGAAAGGGACGACAACCATAATGCTTTTTCAAACCCACATATGACAGTTAACTTCATGATATTTACACTTTCAAATATCTTTGATTTTCGGGGTATTCTCCATTCATTATGACAAACCATTTTTTCACGCAATTAATATGTGATTTTTATTACATTTGTATAACATGTAATGGAGTTTGATGCGACTGTCATACAAGCGAGAGGTTTAGCTGTCCGTACATGACCTGAAAGAGGTTAATATATATATATATATATATATATACACACACACACATACACGGCTAGTTATAATTAGCTTAGTGAGATGGTTTATACACTATACAGGTCATTAAAATTCTGAGGTCAAGGACATATGCTGAATAATATCCCAGTAACAGTGTTACCCCATACTATTTAAAAACTTAAATCACCGTTTAAATATTGCATTTTGTCCTTTGATTAAAATCCACCTTCTTGCTTTGTCAATTTTTTATTTAGGCTTATTTGAAATATATACGAATGCCTTGTAACAAGAACGTCTGTACTGCATGGAATTTACAATTTATCCAGTATACATACATGTTTCTTATTGATTATATTGCATTCGTACTAGAACAATGGTAAATTCACTCGATTTGAATGACAATTGAAGTCAAATATGAGGAAATAAAAAAATATATGCAGCCTTTCAGTGTATAACAGCACGCAGCGAATTAATGACTCTAAATACAAATGACTCCGCAGTTTTTTTTTATTCTATTAACTTATTCAAATCTGTGATTAAAAGTGAACTAACTGACTTAAAAATGTCATCAACTGTCAATATTTTTTTCTGAATAATATTTATTCGTTTCAGAAAATACATAATAATATGTGTCAACATGACAACATAATGGTGGAAATCGGGGTCACAACCGTAATCTGGCACATAATTGAAAAAACTTCACATGATAATAAACATGCGTTTCAAATTGAATAATATTTATATGTTCAGTAAACTGTGAAATCGTATTTTGGCTCGAAACAAGCTTAAATATTTTTAAATCAAAATGAATATTTTTAGTAGGTTTCAAGTTAATGTGACGAACACTTTTAACTTGATGCGGGACAAACGTACGGACGAACGAACAGACGGACAAGACAACACAGTGTATCCTTACTATCGTAGACGGGGCATAAAAACGACTAAATTCAAGAGACCAAGTATCAAAGGGATAATCAAACTCATATCCGTCGTCATCTGTGAAACAGATATGTCGGTCCACCAACTTGTGGTGCCGACCGTAAAATTTTCGAAGGGATGACTTTTATAAAATTGAGAATGGAAATGGGGAATGTGTCAAAAAGACAACAACCCAATCATAGAGCAGACTACAGCCGAAGGCCACCAATGGGTCTTCAACTTTAACTTCATCACTTGGAAACCTTGGTATATTAGCTTCCAAGTTTGATGTATTTGCATATCTATATTTGACCAGATTAAAAAAAAAAAACTGTGCAAAATATATGAAAATGATATCAAAGGCTGCTTTTCATGCAATTCGGAATATCAAATTGATCTTCAATTATTTGCAATGTTTATTTAGAAATAAAATATGAAACAAACATATACATACTTATCATCGTTTTTGCATGCAATGCAATCAGTCATGCTTTCACATTTGCATTTATCCCGAAGAACTGCTAATCGACCTCTGGCCTTTCCACATAGAATACAGGTGTTAGAATCTAATACCATTCTAAATGGCTGCAAAAATTAAGAAGAATGTCTATATATGGAATTAGAAACAATGTGAACACCATTATGTACTTAAATGAAATTCAATACCCTGCATTTATCATGTTTTATTCTTACATTTATAAATAAGTGTTCAACGAAGTATAAACCTGCTATAGGCTTGTATGCAAACTTTGGCACATCTTTAAAATAAAATATCCACAGAAATACTAGTTTTTCTTCAATCCATAAAAATTGGTACCAACGAAAAGAACTGTATCCACAGTAATCTAGAATGTCATTAAATGCAATTAGATAAACTGCATTTACCATACTCTATCCTAAAACAAGATAAGCATGATGATTTAACCTGTTCTTATACATATAATTATTTCTTTTTTGGGGGGAGGAAGCAATATGCACCAGACTTATTCGGAGAAAATGCAACCTAAAAACACCCTAGTATAGTTAACAAAATCATGCAGGGAACCGTTACTGTTCATTAAGTTGTAAAGATGTGCCGATGAAATTGGTCTTTTTTTTATACTAAAAATTATTTGATTGTTATCAGCTCAACGTCCAGTAGGAAATATTTCATAGATATAAGAAGATGTGGCATGAGTGCCAATAAGACAACTCTCCATCCAAGTCAAAATTTATAAAAGTAAACCATTATAGGTCAAATTACGGTCTTCAACACGGAACCTTGGCTCACACCGAACAACAAGCTATAAAGGGCCCAAAAAATTACTAGTGTAAAACTATTCAAACGGGAAAACCAACGGTCTAATCTATATAAAAAACGAGAAACGAGATACACTTATGAACCACATCAACAAACGACAACTACTGAACATCAGATTCCTGACTTAGGATAGGTGCAAACAATTGTAGCGGGTTTAAACGTTTTAATGGTACCAAACCGTCACCCTTATCTGAAACAATAGTGTAACATCACAACATTGAAAGACACACTATAAAATATCAATTGAAATGGCTTAACTCAATCAAAAGACATTTTAACACCAGTGAACATACACTGAACAAATAAATTTGATCTATGATACAATGTAAATACAAAATAAATAAACTAAGGGAAGAATAATTAAAGTAACATGTTATGCCGCTGTAAAATGTTAAAAAATTTAAGAAAAACAATATGCTTAAACAGAAATATCAGCCATTTGCAATTACTTTAAACACAGGTAAATGAAAATAATTTTGTTGTTAGGTATACGTGTACAGTTCAAATGGAGAAAGGAAATATTTTTACAAAATAAATAATTTCATGCATATTCATGAGAATTACATTTATATGACCACAGTGCAGAGCCGAATTACATATATGAAAGGGTAAATATTATTACATTACTTAAACTGATATTAGTAGCAGAAACTAATCTTGGATATTATCGTATTTTAGTTAATGTATTAACTTGAAACAATTAGAAGAATTTTGTATAAGATCCCACAATGTCGTAGTCACATCAATGGGAGACTTGTTTTCACAACTGTGTGTATGTGAAATCATTACAATATACCTTACTCACTGGATCATCGATATTTCTGTCAAAAATGTATCAAAATGTTTCTCGTATTTAAGATGTTTGTTCTTATACTTCTGCATTTTTCTGCATTTGCTTAGTTAATATTGTTGAGATAGCTACTAGTGGATATCTAGTCAGTTAGAGTCTCATCAGCTTAGTTGTAAGTAATTTGGTACTGGCATGATTTATAATATATATGTCCTAAATTCTCAGTTGATAATGTTAAAATTATTAAGAAACTAAGGAGGGAAAGTTTACTTTAGGTGGATTTAACATCTACGTCATTTGGTCTCTGGTGTATAGTTGTCTCATTGGCGATCTTGTCACATCTTCTTATTTTTATATTGGCTATTATCTTTATGTCCTATCTGATCATATAGGAGGGTCAAGATGGGGGTCCTTTAATTCAGTATTCTTTAAATTTTTTTAGCCATTTTCTCTATACTTCATACATTTTGCTCATTATTTTCTATTGTTTAAATTTAGCATCCAATTATTCTCTATTCTTTATTTCTTTTTGCCTATTTTTCTCTATTCTTTATTTTTTTAGCCATTTTATTCTGCATTTTTTGCACATTGTTGTCTATTCTGTAAACCCCAGCCAGACCCTCATAAAGCTCTTCAAATATTCAAGTATTTATACATCCTTGGCTTTCGTCTGATTTTGGTTTGAGCGTTCCCAATGAATATAAACCCAGAAAAGTGTTTCAGACAAAACAATTAATAAAGCGTTATTTTCATTGTTGATGATACCATTACAGCTGTGTTCGTAAATGCATAGAAGTAGCAGAGAAATCCTTTCAACCCTGTGCTATGAGTCACCTTGGACTTTCAGTGAGATGAAATATCAGCATAAACGGTACCAATGTTAATGCACTAGATGCGCATTTCGACAATTAATGTCTCTTTAGTGATGCTCGAAGCAAAAATATTTGAATATCCAAAATCTAATACAAATGTTAAAGAGCGGATCAAACCAAAAAGGACCTAAATTATATCTAAATCAGGACAAGGAATCAGAGCTTTGCATGAGGGAGACGTATTCCTTGGTTTAAAATAATTTCGAATTTTTTTATAACAGCAAGCTTTATTCAAACAATATCCGTATTTTCATGCCAGTACCGAAATACTGGCTACGGGGCTGGTGATACCGTCGGGGACTAACTGTTTAACCAGCAGAGGTATAGTTGTTTGTGTTTATGTATGTCAAAGGTATGTTGTCATGAAACTAAAGATTATCAATTGAAGCTCTGCTCCTTTTGTTTTTTTGGTATGTGCGTAGCGATTTTGTGTCATGGAATGATACACCAAATCCTTTGTGTTCTTCAATATGACGGTCTTTGATAAGCTTAACCGTTTGAGGGTTGGAAACATACAGATTAATACCCCCCCCCCCCCCCCCCCCCCCGAATATCAATGTAAGATGTTGATATTTTAACTTTCAACTCTTCTTCATGTTTATTCTTAAACGTACAATTTAATCTTCAAAAATGTCACCAGCAATCCAAGACGTTAAATGATGTTCAATTATTCATTGTTACATGTACAAAGCATTCTTATCTGATTCAGTTTATGTTTACACTGGGAAACCATTGTAACGGTAAATTGGTTTGTAGAGTAGTAAATTTTATGAGAGACAAGAAAAAGAATTTATTCTACTAAAAAAATAAAAAATGAAATAAAAAAATATTACAACAAATTAAATCAAGCCCGATCTGTTTTTCATGCAAAGGTCAAATCGGATACATGATATTTACGACTTAAATTCATCGTAAACTATACAGAAATTACTTATGAGTATGAATTAAGGAGATCTGTTATGATTGCTAATTAAACAAATATACTCCAGAGACCAATGAACGTGAATGTGAGATTTGTTTTCTTTGTCGTTTATTATTAACTAATAAAGTAATATCTACGATATGTTTTCGCTTTGTGGGAAAATCTTTTTTTTTGTTTCTAAATTAAGTATTTTCCAATTAATTACACCTTATGTAAGAATCCTGGGTTTTGATTGGTTGATAGCCAGTGTATTTTTCACCAATTTACTGTTATCAAATGAATATCGTTCATTTTTTAACGCCGCCGGGGTATATGCAAAAAGGATATGCCTTTTTTACCCTCTCTGCCGTGGTATTTGCCAAAAAATACTCTATCCGACTGGACGCTTGTAACGTCACGATCATCAACGCGTTTTTGAACGTTAACATTCGGTGTAATTAAACAGATATAGCATGTTCTTGAGGGGTATTTAAGAAAAATACCAGTCTTGAGAATGAATTTCCCTCGCCTTACGGCTCGCGAAATTTAACATTCTCTCGACTGGTATTTTTCGCAAATACCCCTCCTTAACATGATATATCTGTTCAATAATCTATAAAGAAAGCATAAGTCTGTTTGCCTGAGTCAGGTCTTTAAACGGACCAAATTCACTAACTACTGTATTCATAATTGCAATAAAAAATATTTTATAGAGTCATGTGTTAGTACTAGAATCAAAACAAAAATAAATACATCTAAATAAATTTTATTTTAATATGCGAATGAATATTTGCGGCTGAAAAAGTTAAGGGTAAAAATTGAAAAATTTCACAAAGTTGGTTTAAGTCTATCTATATATTACATTATACATATTTATTAACAGGTTAACTCCTAACTATCCTACTGCATGTCGATACTTTTACTTTGGCATTGTACAGGTCAAGTCTTCTTTGACTGTCCATGACGTTAAAACACTAAATCCCTGGGATGTGTTTTGGTTGATTTTATTCTCTGATGCATGAGTTTTTATTATTAATTGTTTTTGGCTTTTAACTAGCTTTCAGTAACTGCGAGTACTCTCATCTTCTTATGTCTATTAAGATCTGACCAAACTTTATTGAATAGTCTAATAAAATAAGAGAAAAAAATCATACACATGTGACTAATATTAACAATGTTAAAATAATCATTTTTGATCGATGAAATTCTGTATTACCTTTAAGTAAACTTGATAAACATCATAGACAAGTATGGATGTCACAGCCATAACCTCAGCTGATCCAGTTGATGTAACAGCCATCAGTAACATCACACATATAAGGAATTCCCCCGGTCTTCCTAACAACTTCTGTGCAATCAAGGGTGGAATTAGACCTAAACAATGCTAAGGTGATTAAGTATTATGCGATTTATGCGTCCAAAAATATTTGCATTCTTTTTATTGTATGAACATGTAGTCGTCGTTAAAATGATATCAGAACGATTATGATCAAATATACAAGGAACTTTAACTTACGAGGAAGTTTATTTTATTTCTAATAATTAGTTGCATTGTCATGTATTCTATAGGGTTATGATATTTGTCTGGCGGAAAGATAACATTGTAACTATTCCGTAGATTTCAACGGCATATCTTAAACACTTTTTTCTAATTTCCTCTCAAAGTACTCTTCGAATACGAAGTGCCTTTAAGGTTTTACATTCATAGTGACATCTTTTAAAGGGTCAAAGATAGATGCATACATAGGGCGTTCGTAAGCGAAACTTGTAAATGTGTAAAATTGTATATTTTCATTTTAAATCATGAGCTCTGATCAAGATTGACTACCAATTTCCAAAGCATTACTCAATCCACCAGTAATGAATTCGATTCAGATGAATATAAAGATACACGTATTATAAGTATTCAATACTCAAAACACTTTATCTACTCCAAGACAGTTATTATGCTGGCAATTCGATATTATTTGTTTTGGTGATGATTAAAGGACTTTAGTGTACGTGTAAGTTCCCGGATTTCTATTTTCGATTACTAATATACCTGCATCTATACTAGCGTCATCTAACAACGGAGAGTCTTGCTGAGCACTTAAAGCAATATATCCTAAACCAGTAGTAGATGCAAATGCAAAAGGTATTGCAAACCAACAGATACCACCGAGCAGAAAACCGAACACACCTTCCTTAGGTTTTGCAGCTACTGAACTTTGCCAGTATGACTGATCGACAAATACTGTTCCAAAATTTCCTAAAATGAAAGAGTTCCTGGATATCATTTTCCTTTTGATATACGAATCTGAATATAATATATATATATAGCAATATATTTCTTTCGTAGTATAAAGGTAAAAGATGCTGACACCGCTTATCTTTCTATAGAACGACATTCTTTCACCTAAAAGCACTTCCATCATGGACACATTAATCAACCATGGATTAATATATCACATTTATATATAATTTGATATGGTTTTAAATCAAGGCATTCTAACGATTGATATAAGCATATTTAAAGCATTTATTAAGCACTTTCAGAATAGTAAAATTCATGTTTTTTCTGCACTGTTCATGCGCGATGATATCTTAACGGAAGTGCAATCATCAATATCAGTTTAAAGAACTATCAACTGTTAAATAATTTGGTTTAAATAGAAAGTTCGTCGGTATGGTATTTCTTGTTTTGATTCACTTGTACCTCTATTTGTTGTTTGTTATATCGATATTATAAACTTGCATTTCAGCTCTTTTCCTGAACTTATCTTAACAGAATGTTTTTTTTTTGTGTAAACCTTTTCTCACGCCGTTGATTGAAATAAAGATTTTGAAGATTTTGTCCAGTGTCAGGAACATTATATTTTGTCTTTGTATTTACACGAATGGCACGCAGTCATATTATAATAACATCACCATTTTTTGTTACATTTCCAAAACAAACTTACCTACAATATTGATGAGACCGAACATGAGCCCCTGTTTCGACATAATTGTCAGATAACTTTTATCTAGGTTTTCCGCTGGTCCTTCACTACAGCCAACAAACTGATAAATTATGTCTTTGCTTCCTAAATCAAATGGAATTGTTACTTGTGTGACATGCATTTACCTCTAAAAACGAATTAATTGAAATGTTAAATAGAATAGACCAAACATATAAAATGTTGTACCCTTTACAAACTTTAATTCACACAAACTGACAGATTGCTTAATGAACGTGGTCAATTATTCGTTTACTCTTCCGGAGCACCTGAGATCACCCCCCGTTTTTGGTGGGGTTCGTGTTGCTCAATCTTTAGTTTTCTATGTTGTGTTTTGTGTAGTATTGTTTGTCTGTTTGTCTTTTTTCTTTTTTTAGCCATGGCTTTGTCAGTTTATTTTCTACTAATGAGTTTGAATGTCCCTTTGGTATCTTTCGCCTGTCTTTTAAAGCCAGTTAATATACCAAATGTCTGTTTCAGCAAGAAAAATGATTTTCTTTTTAAAAGTATCTATTATATCAAAATATTCATGGTGAATTTATCAAAGGTAGTAATATTTGCCAGTAGTATTTTCTCTACTTTAACAGTAACCCAAGGAAGAGAGTCATGTGTAGTGTTTAATTTGCAAACTTAGAAATTGAACAAAGTAAAGGTACGGAAATGTGTGGTATCTGAATATATATGATGTTGTAAAAGCTTAAAATTAATTGAAATGGTTATGCTTATGTCATATAGCTCAAAAATAAAAACTTCTATCATCAACAAATATTTTATGAACACCTATATTTTGTAGAAGACTGTATGTTGCCCTCTAGATACTTTTTTGGACGTTTTTTATTGTTGGGTTGTTTTCTCAATGACATATACCCCAGATCTCCTTATATTATTATTTTGTTTCCCATAAATGGGTATACTAAATAGTACAGTGGCACGAAGAAGCTACTATTGAACATAAATCGATTGAATCATGAATTTTCCAAGAGGTTTGTTTCAACCTTGCAATATTATTGGGTACATGCAAACATCGACAAAAGGCAAGATGTTCTTTTTATCAAGACATTAACCCGTACAGTACAGTGCAATATCTGAGAGGTATAAATTATGACCTGTGCTGAATGAAAGGGTTTTATTACTTTGTCTGAAGACGGGATTCTTGTCATTGTTTGTGGTTTATTTACTTTGTCTGAAGACTGGATTCTTGTCATTGTTTGTGGTTTATTTACTTTGTCTGAAGACGGGAATCTTGTCATTGTTTGTGGTTTATTTACTTTGTCTGAAGACGGGAATCTTGTTATTGGTTGTGGTTTATTTACTTTGTCTGAAGACGGGAATCTTGTCATTGTTTGTGGTTTATTTACTTTGTCTGAAGACGGGAATCTTGTCATTGTTTGTGGTTTATTTACTTTGTCTGAAGACGGGAATCTTGTCATTGTTTGTGGTTTATTTACTTTGTCTGAAAACGGGAATCTTGTCATTGGTTGTGGTTTATTTACTTTGACTGAAGACTGGAATCTTGTCATTGTTTGTGGTTTTTTTACTTTGTCTGAAGACGGGAATCTTGTCATTGTTTGTGGTTTATTTATTTGTCTGAAGACGGGAATCTTGTCATTGTTTGTGGTTTATTTACTTTGTCTGAAGACGGGAATCTTGTCATTGGTTGTGGTTTATTTACTTTGTCTGAAGACGGGATTCTTGTCATTGTTTGTGGTTTATTTACTTTGTCTGAAGACGGGATTCTTGTCATTGGTTGTGGTTTATTTACTTTGTCTGAAGACGGGAATCTTGTCATTGGTTGTGGTTTATTTACTTTGTCTGAAGACGGGAATCTTGTCATTGTTTGTGGTTTATTTACTTTGTCTGAAGACGGGAATCTTGTCATTGTTTGTGGTTTATTTACTTTGTCTGAAGACGGGATTCTTGTCATTGTTTGTGGTTTATTTACTTTGTCTGAAGACTGGAATCTTGTTATTGTTTGTGGTTTATTTACTTTGTCTGAAGACTGGAATCTTGTCATTGTTTGTGGTTTATTTACTTTGTCTGAAGACGGGAATCTTGTTATTGTTTGTGGTTTATTTACTTTGTCTGAAGACTGGAATCTTGTCATTGATTGTGGTTTATTTACTTTGTCTGAAGACGGGAATCTTGTCATTGTTTGTGGTTTATTTACTTTGTCTGAAGACGGGAATCTTGTTATTGTTTGTGGTTTATTTACTTTGTCTGAAGACGGGAATCTTGTCATTGTTTGTGTATTATTTACTTTGTCTGAAGACTTGAATCGTGTCATTGTTTGTGGTTTATTTACTTTGTAATGAAATTAAAAGCAAAATTTCGACCGATACCTAAAGGATTACTGCTGTTATCCGGATCATTGTAGACTTTCTGCATGATTATCAACATTATTATGTATATCAATGCTGTATTAAAATACGAGACATAAAATGTAGCTCCTAGTCCACCAATAAATGTATAGGTTCCTATCACTGCAACTACTAACACTGTGGCAAATTCTACATTTAATCCTTTAACAAGACTAGTCAATACAGCTGCGCCTCCTGAATAATTATAAAATGAGAGAACATTGAAAAGATTGTAACATCACAAATTAAAATTCCATTGTTCTATGTACTTGTTTATATTTATTAATTTGACCACAGCAGTATCAATTTATTTGTCTTGACGTCTATATGAAATTGTTGTGATATCTTTGGGTTTGATAACATATCCTCCCATAATGAATATTGATATATATATAAATGATGACATACAAATGGTGCTACATATGACTCCTTGGTATTTATCCATTTCAAGAGAGCTAAACATAAATTGTGTTAGTACTTACACAAAAAATCCTATTATAAATAGGACAAATTCATTAATCGCAGCATCCCACAGAGCAACTTTAATATACTCAGTTTATATTGGTGTTTGTATATAGGCTAAGCCTTATTTCTATCAAATCATTGTGACACCATCTGGATACGTTATTAAAGTTGTCCCAAGTCAGAAACCTCTAGCCTTTGGTGGAAAGTTGTCTCATCGACAATCATATCACATTTTTAACTTTTGTAATAATCGTAGGTAAAGTATATATGATATCAAACTTACCCAACATCAACATAGCAGTCACAATTAAATTGGTCAATAATCCAAATACACAGAATGTGATATGTGTTTTCTTGTCAAATCGGGCTCTGATCACTTGTAAAAATGTCTTTGCACCTGGTGCTCGTATTTTCAGTTGAGCGGAAATAATTGAAAACAGGAGAATTTGGATAGTAGCACCCGCAGCATACCATAAAGGGCCGCTTATACCATACTGTCAAAATATAAATTAAGAAAATGAATACAAATATGAATATCTTTAAATTTTGACGCAGTATCATTTAATATCATATTACAAAATGTGTAATACTTCAAAAACATTTTATCTCACTTACAAGTGTCTTCTGAAGTTTTAACTATATTCAAATCACCCTGGTGGTCTCGTGGTAACGTGCGTAAAATATAATTGAAAATTGAAATGCTTTGTCTTCAAAATAAGGACTTTATCACAGAATGAAAACACTTAATCTGTAAAAGTTCTAAAAATTTCCGAAGAATGAGCTATTTTAATATTATAAAGTATCAAGAAAATTTTGTGAAAAAGTAAGACATGGAAAAACTAACACTTTATACCTTTTGTTTCATTGATAAAAATAACATGAACTCGCCTGTGTCCAGTTTGATGATCAATTAAATAACTGTAGGTGTGTGTACGTAAACAGGAAATGCAAATTAACCTGTTTTCAGATATACAGAGTATAATTGTATTTTAAGCCATTCAGTCAGATAAGGAACTTCCAACAGAATTAAATTATGACTTATTAAGTATGAGGGTCTCTTTTCTTTATTCTTCAATTTTTAAGTCCATTTTACTCTATTCATTATTATTCATTTTGCCTATTATTGATCATTATTCTCTAACATGTGCTGGAACCCTATCAGACCCTCAAGTTTAAGAACAGTGTTTTTCTTATATTTAAAAGAAAACCAGTTTGTTCGACTTTTCGTATCGAATGAGGACAGAAAACTAGAGACACACATATCATAAGTATTATTGTTGTTGATGATGGGAGTTTTTAACAACCTTGACTGGCTATACAGCCCTCGCACGGTCGGTATATTATTGTTAATCCTCTAACAAGAGTAGTTATATTGTTTCTAAAAGAATAATCAACTTCAGATCTAGAGTTGCCATTCCTGTCTTCTTAAACACTTACTGTAACGTTCGGACGCAGGACAAATTTGTGCAGTTGAAGCAATATTAACTTCATCCAAATTAAATTACCTGTCCGTCTAATATACGCGCCTAAATGGTTTTCGTCTCTAAACCCGCTGCATTTGTTTGCACCTGTCCTAAGTCAGGAACCTGATGTTCAGTGGTTGTCGTTTGTTGATGTGGTTCATAAGTGTTTCTCGTTTCTCGTGTTTTAAGATAGATTAGATCGTTGGTTTTCCAGTTTGAATGGTTTTACACTAGTCATTTTTGGGGCCCTTTATAGCTTGTTTTCGGTGTGAGCCAAGGTTCCGTGTTGAAGGCCGTACTTTGACCTATAATGGTTTACTTTTTCAAATTGTGACTTGGATGGAGAGTTGTCTCATTGGCACTCATACCACATCTTCATACATTTATCTAATTGTTAAGGTTATGCTTGTATAGTAATCATTGACATTTCTATCCTGTTTTAAAACAGGTTTTCTTCAAAATATTATGCGTTACATTGTATACATCTTATTTCATCTTTAAAGTTCATTTCACTGGCTCTAATTTGTTTCTGAGAAAATACTCTACATACTTTGCAAATTTACTAACGGTATATATGTTTATTTGTTATATAAATGTGCGTGTGCTCAATTTCCAGAATTGTTCAACATATAGATATGATGAGAAAGACTAGAAAATTTTAAATTTTAAAAAATATACTCACATCGTCGGATATATTTTCTAAAGATAGTATTTGTTTCGTCAATACACACCACATTTCCCCAAAAATCTAATTACATATGAGACATTTTTAAACTTGATTGGTTATCTTAAAATAGTTTGAAGTTCTTTTATAACTGTTTAATTGTAACTTGTTTATTAGCATTGTCGGTTTTTCATGGAAACGTGATATAGCAATTAACTATAAAATATAAACGACCAATCAATTTCTTTTAAAATTTTATAAGCAAATTTCATTTCAATGTGTCTGTTGGGAGTATCATCAAATTAAATTCCAAAACCTTAATTGAACATTAAACAACAATAGTTTGAAATTAATGGATTTCAACGACAATTATTATATTATTATATTGTAACGACAGTTAAATATACATTATTATGTTATTTTTAATCATGCTAGTATTGTTGATGAGATTTTTTTTTTTAAATATGTCTGATAATGAAAAATTGATATTTCTTTTTAAAAATGAAAATATGGTATTTTATGCTGCCAAAATCTGCAATGAAATTTTAATAAAGCGAAAATGTATTTCATACTCATGATAGTTGACTTGTATTTGTATTATAATTTAAGAAACATTGTTTTATAGTCTATCTAGGGTTTTCTCAGATAAACTAGGATTATCTCACTATTTTACATTAAGTTCAGTTAAACCGGGATTATCTCGATTTTTTCAGATAATCCCGGTTTTTCTCAGAATGTTCAGATAAACCGGGATTATCTCAGCTTAATGCAATTTTGAGATAATTCTAGTTTATCTGAGATAATCTAAGATTAGTTAATAAAAGTGGTTCTGGCGTGCCATATTATAGTCTCTCATAAATCTTTATAGAGTGGCTCTTGTTGTTAACTTGTGTTTTAATATGCTGTATCTTTTACATGTAACAAGTGGTGAGACTTTAATAAAGTATTTGTCTTTGTCTTGTCTGTCTTGTCTGTCTTGTCTGTCTACATCCGTAAAAGGTAGTTCGAATAGAAACCTGATTTTGCATGTACATAATGTAAACAACACGTTCCAATTCGTTTTTTGTCTGAATTCCTTTACAATTTTGCTGTTGCTAACATACGGTCTGGATACAATTAAATTTAAATAAAAAAAAAAAATGAATTATAATTTATTGATGAAATTTCGAAGCCATTATACCAGTATTAACAGTTCGGAGATCTGGGGTTTGAAAATCTAGATATTTCAGAAAACGTACACATTTTAAGATTTTGCAAGATCATGTTTAACCTAAAGCAGACAACACCAAACACCATTATTTATGGAAAATTCGGACAATTTCCGATTTCCCTCACAGTTAAAATGCGTATAATAAAATTGTGATGTAGATTAGTAGATGATGAAGAGAAAAGGTTCTCTTCAACTTTTATAAATTGGTGTTTGTATATTTTAATAATTATGGCTTTGAAATCAAACAGTTGTAATTTGTTGTAAGAATTTTGACAATTGTGGTCTATCATACGTTTGGGGATCCCTGTGTCATTTTTCTTTAGTTGGACAGAATATTGGGTAGAACTTATACTTAGATAAATGTAAGAAGATGTGGTATGAGTGCCAATGAGACAACTCTCCATCCAAGTCAAAATTTATAAAAGTAAACCATTATAGGTCAAAGTACGGCCTTCAACACGGAGCCTTGGCTCACACCGAACAGCAAGCTATAAAGGGCCCCAAAATGACTAGTGTAAAACCATTCAAACAGGAAAACCTACGGTCTAATCTATATAAAAAACGAGAAACGAAAAACACTTATGAACCACATCAACAAACGACAACCGATGGACATCAGGTTCCTGACTTAGGACAGGTGCAAACAAATGCAGCGGGTTTAAACGTTTTAATAGGCGCCAACCATCACCCTACCTGAAACAATAGTATAACATTACAACATAGAAAGATCAATATAAGCAAGAATGGTCGTCTGACATTTTTAATTCAAATAAAATAATTTGTGATAGAATATTTAAGAATGAGTTCTGTTTTGAGTGTTATTTATCGTCACCACTCTCATGTTGAATGTTCTTTATTTAAATTAAGATATGGCCGTCATCGTTTGCCCGTTGAATCGTGCAGATGGCATAAAACTCATAGAAACGAAATAATCTGTAATGTATGTGACAGACATGAAATAGGGGATGAGTACCATTATATAAATATTATTGGTTTGTAACTTAATTAGTTCTGAAAGGAAATAATTATTACCGCGATATTGTCAAAAAAAAATTTAAAAAATAGACAAATACTGTAAAATTAATCAGTTTTTTCCATAAGGCGAAGTATACGTAATTGCAAGCCTCTAGCGGAATTCGGGATACAAAACGTGCGTCGTTAGTTACGCAAGTTATCTCACCTACTCCAAGAACGGGAAATGGGCACATGAAAGAGAAATCATCATTTTAATGACTTTGTGCGGTCTATCATGAACCCAAACAAGTATTCCCTTGCTATATCAAAATTTCAAAGAAAATAGCTGACTCCAATCAGAAATCTTAGATCTATCTTAGTATCCTATTGTGTGTTAGTCTGCAACTGTTTTTGTTTTAGGCTCACGCAGAAGCGGGTACATAATACCGCTCGTATTTATTTTAACAGAAATTAGAAATAAACAAATTAACTAGTGACAATTCTGCTTCTAGGTGTATCATACTCGTTAAGGGACTTATCATTTTTTACCTGGGAGGGGGCTGGTCATTTTGAAATCATACATACAAAATTTCTTGATCCCCCCATAATATTTCACTATTTTTATTTGATCCCCCCTGTAAAAACATTTTAAAAAATGTGATCCCCCCTCTATTAAACATGCCAAAATTTTAACATGCAAATCACTTATCATGTTATTTCACCTGACTCAAGCTAGCTAGCAAACAACTAGGAGGTATAACTAAAAACCACAATATCACATAAGGTTATCACGTTTTTTCGAGCTAGCGAACAATTATGAGAATACATACAATCTTAAACAAAAACGAAAAAACTAACTTAAAACAAAAGGGAAACCATACTTCATATATAAAGAATACAAAGCTTTTCTTTCCTAACTAAATAAATCCATATAAGGCATTCAATAGACAGCTGGATTACAATGACCATAAGTTAACACAATGACACAATGCATTTTTAGGGAATAGGGTGCACTTTACGTTGTTTGGTCCGATTAATAGAGATTGTGACAGGTTAGGCTATATAGGTGTTTAAGAGGAGATAGTGCCGCATCGTTTAGGAAAATCTCCAGAGTGGTTTATGTTCGAAAATCTTAAATTGTGGTAGAAAAAAACTGAAATTAACAAATGAAATTTGGGTATAGGACATTTTAAGTTAATTTTT